GCGGGAGCTGGTTTCTTCCGGGGGGCATGGGTGATGAGTGAAGTCCTACTAATGGCTTATGACTTGGGCTGTTAGTGAGGAAGAGAGGAGGTGAATGCTATCCGGTGTGGGGGAAAGTGGTTTATGGGCTTGAGAGAGTAGAAACGGAGTGAGAGAGGTTTGTCTGGAGGACGAGGACTGGCTTGGGCTGGGCATTGAAGCCACTTGGACATCTTGGAATGCTTTGCCAAGTGACATGCGGACTCTTTCCTCTTCGTGAGGTTTTCATGACTGAGTCCTTAGGGCGAGGTTTTAGGATGGAGTCACGGCTCTCCGCTTTGCCATGCGGATAGCGAGCGGCAAGCATCCCAGCCGACGTATATATCCGCCCCGCTGGATAGAAATCCAACGGAGATCATAGGCCTATGGACTCTGTTTCTTCCTCTTGATGGATCTAGTGACAAATTGAGGGACCAAGGTGATGTGGCGAGACCACCAAGGATCGCATTGCCCAGCCAGGCCATCATAACAACAGAGTAAACACTGGCGAGGGAGTTTCCAGGGAGTCACCCTTGCCTCCTCATTTGCCTAATCAAGCAAAAGTCACTCTCAGGATTCCAGATTCCTAGCCTTATCGAGTTATGTCCCGTAGTGCCAAAACTTCCACGCTCGCAGCCCAGAAAACGACGACTTCAACGAGGAGGGTGCGTGCAAGCAGCCCCAAGACTCCTTCCTCCTCTCTTCCCCGCCAAAACTACTGGAAGAAGACGTATAAGGAACTTTTCGAGTGAAGCTTGCAACCGTGCAGCTCACGTAGCAACGAAACCGTGAGCCTGGCCGAGCGGTAACTGTTCGAGGGCGCTCAATGGCCAGAGTCATGGCCAGGGTCAAGGAGTAATGTCCCTCCTCTGGGAGCACTTGAAGTTCCTTTTTTTAAAAAAAAAATTTTTAAAAAAAAATTTTTTATTTCGCTTGTAAGTTCTATTTCGGCCTTTCCTTTTTGACTTCAATGTCTTTTTATTGTGTTCTGGAGGATGGAATCCTGACATCCTGGGATTAATGGATATTCCTAGAGGTTATTAGTTCGAACCCGGGTGCCAATAGCCACCCCCCCCCCCCCCCCCCCCCCCCTTTTTTTTTTTTTTTCTTTTCCTGTGATTTATGTGGATGGAGATATGATCTATCTGGATGTGTATTCTAAGGAAATCGTTTAATTTTGCGTCGTGAACTATATCCCATGGGGCTGAGGGAGCGGTTCCTCGCCATCATGGTCTTCAATGGAGGGAAGAGTAGCACCGGGCGAAGATACGAATTATTGAGGCTCGAGCACAAGAGTAGATGAACGGCTTAGCGTTTCGATCGACCTGATAGAACACTTCTGGCAATGCTAATCATCACGAAACATGGAAAGCTAGATCTCAAGATTCAGGACACACCACTTCAGAACTCGACGATCTCAGGGTGGAACCCGGGTATATGCCGCAGCTCTTTTCTCCATCTCCTTCCTGTAGGAGACACAGACGTGCTATACAGATAGAAAACGCAAAGATGGAGCAGTTCCTGCGTCCGCTCCGTTCTTTCTTGATCCCTACATGGGAGGCCGGGTTTAATCCATTGACACCGAGAGCTGGCAAGGCCAACGATATATATATCTGGTGAGGCAAACTGGCCGCGCTATCCTACATACCAAGTAAGCTTTTGACGTGGCTCCTATAAATAAGAGTAAAGTAAACGAAGCAGCAAAGCCCACAATATTGGACCAGGTTTCAACGGCCGCATACCAGTGCCATTCGAGAGAAGACCCTTTCAAACCTTGATACAGGCAGTCTCTACCAGCCTCGCGATGCCATGATGTCACAACTTCAACCCGCTTCTACGACAAATAGAAAATCAATAGAAGGTATTCGGATGAGACTATTCACAGATTAATGTATAGCAAGAAGAGAATGAGAAATCAGGTGTGGAAAAGAAGAAACTGCAAGGAGACATCACCCAGCACTTCATATATTTAGAACGCATCCAAGGCTCCATTCTCTCTTCTCTTCCTTTCTGTCTGGGACGTAGAGTCCCAGGACATGACCGTCTCAACCATTGTTATATCTAGTGAGAATGTGGCATGGAGATTTGAAGTTCTCGTCGGGTTACCTTTGTCACGGGTCTCAGAAATCTTCTTCAGGATATCCGAGGCTCCGAAGAGGGATACATTAATACATAGGAAGCGGAAATTCGACAGTGAACCACGCCTGCGGGCAGTTCGGAACAGTGAGAGGTGAGCAAAGGCCAAGGAGACGGAGAAAATGTAGATCAAAGGTTAGCTTTAGCTCCTGGACGGTGGAAAGTATGGTGTAGGAAAGGGAACACCATGACTCCCGGGCTCGCAGAGAGCTCGGAATAGAGGAAATATAAACGTGACATGGCATATCACGGTTCAAGTGAATGTACTCTGATATGTGAAGTTATCAACTTGATGAAATCCCAATCTGTGGTCTACGAGAGTTGTTGGGCTGGAGACTGGGCCTTGTATGGCCCCATCCGCGAATGCATCTAATCTTGTGTGGTCTTATGGTGTATCCCCGAGGGTTTCTTCTTTTGCCCCGGGGCGGCAGCGGGGGATACGCCGTTGGTGTGGTGTGGCATGTTTGGTCCTTCTTGGCTCTTGGGGTCGTCGACGTAAGGGGGCACGAGATCGACATCGCCGTCTTGATACGGTATGCTTCCCGCGCAAGGGAGGAGGAATCTTCTCAAATGTTTGGCCGAGAATACGGTGCCGTTACACAAGTGTGAAGGACAACATGCCATTGACCTTCTCACCTGGTTCTACTGATATTACTTGATATCGAGAATGGAGAGGAGACACCTCGATCAGCGCAAAATCTACACGACTACTTCATCCTTTGGCAGTAGAAACAGTCCACAAGGATGATCCCTGCGGGAGAGACCGAGAAGATATAAGGCTACATCCGTTCACAGTTACAGCACCGTTGGAAATATAATACGCCAAGTTGTTTGCTTGTCGATGTGCAGGGTTCGCCCCGTGTTCGTGATCACTCATGCGGCTGGCTGGTGTGTCTGCTTCGAGCTTTCGGACGTAATTATTCGAAGCGACGGCATTTCTCAGGCCGCAGGAACAGGTGCGCCAAGACCAAGGCCAAGCCCGGGAGTCACGGCGGATCAGCACGCGGAAGGTTCTATTGTTTTATATTCCACCCAAAAAGACTCGATTCTTGTTTCCTTTTTGTGACAGTGGCTGCGCCGAGAGATCATCTCGAGATATCTCGATGGGGGAAGGAGTGGTGCCAAACATTGGACACCAAGAGGCGGGATTGAGTGAATGAGTGGGGGTTATATTGCGCTATTAGTGAATATTTCATTGATGGCGTGCGCTACTGTAGTATCATTTTATAGTTTACTGAGGTATTCGAACGCAAATGACCACGAACCCTTGCATCAACCTACAAAGGAGATCCTGGATGCGGTCAGCTTGAGAGTGTCAGAAGTCTCCTGTCGTGAGACGTGAAATGGGAGAGCAAGATGAGAGATGAGGGAATTCGGCCGAGACTCTGGTTGATGGCTGGGCCAAGTTCGAGTGTGCCGACAACACAGCGACCAGCCAACAGCCAACAGCCAAGAACAAACAAACAGCTGAGCCAAGAACCCAAGAGCCAGCCAAGCCCGAGCCTGTTGCTTGGCCTCTGCGCTGGCTGCGCTGGCTGCGCTGGCTGCGATGCTGCGATGTGATGGTGACGAGTGATGTCTGATGTCTGGAATCGTGGGTGGCAGGTCAGCTTTCCACTCTCTCTCCATCCATTCTTTTGACAGCAAAGTAAAATCTCGCGGGTTGACCAATCTTTCTTCCCCTCTTTAGTCTTCGGTGACACTAGGCGAGCTAATCTCGAGCTACGCCCGTCGAAGTTTAGCTCTTCCATTTTCGATCTCCTCCGGGTCCAGGGCCCAGGTCAATCCATCCCCTTTGGGTGGGAGTACCTCCTAGCAACATCACTCACCATTGCATCTCCAAGAACGTTTCGTCCACCTCGGACATTGTTGGCAAGCTGTCGGGGCCAATCTGCGCCCACCGCCGCGTCTCCTGCCCATGCGGGCGGCGGGCGACCACAAACAGCTTCAAACCCACCCCAGTCCTTCTCTTCTTTCCTCTCCCACTCTCTCCCTCTCCTCTCATCGCTCACGAGAGTACCTCTCTTCACTCGCTGTCAGCCCCCCGTCGAGATGAAATTCCAAGTGCGGTGCGGCTGCCCATGCCAAGACATTGGCGCGGAGGATGCATTGATGAGAAGCGGAGCTGCCATGCATCGCCAAGACTTGGAAGCACCTTTTTCTTCCCGTCTTTTGATTCTTTGCTACGAAGTCAGAGTTGAGCCTTCCTTTCCATCTTCGAGTTGGTGATTCCTTCCTTTTTTGTTAATCCTAATTCCTAATGTCAAATCACGGCAACTGCAACTGCCAACAATAAAAAGCATCATCTTTTTCCTTCTGCCTTGCATTGCGTTGAAATTTTGACGCGAGTGTTTTTATTCTCTCTCTTTTAATTTTGATCTACGTTTTTCTTTACATGGATATTTACGGCTTGTGGGGATAAAATTCGTGTTTTGGATTTTGGCATCCAACTTGGATTGTCCGCGGTGCCCGTGTCGCTTGACGACATTGGAACCTGGGAACAATCCCGCCTTGTCTCCACGTCTGTCTAGCTCGTCCTGGGCCTCGAAAGCTTGCGATCCGATCATTGCTGTTCCTCAATTGGACTCGACGACCCTCGATCTCGGATACTACAACCTCCCAATCCTTATCGTCCCGACGATAGCGATCGACGACTTCGACTTCGAGTCCCCCTTACCAGCACGAGTCTCGAACCGCGCGACCGACCTCTACATCTTCATCCAGGGCCGATACTCCCCCATCTCCGGTCGGCGCCTCCCCTCACTCCGCTCCGGGTCCCTTCCCCGGGCCACAGAAACGAAAGAGACCCAACCTCCGCTCCCGCTCCGCTCCGCCGCCCGCCCACGATGCTCCTCCAACACCTCCTCCCATCCTCGACCACCCTCCTCGCCCTCCTCCTCGCCCTCTCCTCCCTCCCCACCCCCACAACAAGCACACGCTCGCCCAAACGCGGCCTCGTCTTCATCTCCCAGCCCCAACACCCCGAAGACAACGCCGTCTGGGTACAAAAAGGCTCTTCCCTAACATGGTACTACAACTACCGCGACACGCCCTCCACCGCCTTCGCCGGCATCCCCCAAGACCGCTTCGAGTTCGTGCCGATGATGTGGGGCGTCGACCAGGAACATCCCGAAGCGACGACTTTTTTGGATAAGGTGAAAGCTATGCTTGATGATAGCGTCAACATTACACATGCCCTAAGCTTTAACGAGCCTGATGGGACAATAGCGTCGGGCGGAAGCGACCTATCCCCCAAGCTGGCCGCGAGGGCATGGGTTAAGAACTTTGAACCACTGAGGGAGCTTGGTGTCAAGGTCGGCTTGCCTGCGTGTACTGGTGCCGCGAACGGCTTGGAGTGGTTGAGGAACTTTTTGGATGCGTGCGCTGAGTTAGTGAGTGAGGGGGCCGAGAAGAAGAGGAATTGTACGTATGATTTTTTGCCGGTTCACTGGTATGGGGATTTCGACGGGATGGCGAGCCACGTCGCCGAGCGAATGGCCGTGTAAGTTTACAATTCCCTCTCCCCCCTCTCTCTCCCCCCCCGGATACTAATGAAAACCTGCTCCAAACAGCTTCCCCAAAATCCCCATCTGGGTCTCCGAATACGCCCTCCCCCACGAAGACCTCCCCGCCACCCAGCGCTTCTTCAACATCTCCGCCACCTGGCTCGACAACGAGACCATCGTCGAGCGCTACGCCTACTTCGGCGCCTTCCGCTCCACCGAGAGCAACGTCGGACCCAACCCCGTGTTTCTCAACCGCGACGGCGCGCTCACGGATATCGGGTCGTGGTACCTCGGCGGGAATGCCACGGGCGTGGACCCGCAGTCCGGGGAGGGAGGGGCGGGGTCCTTGAGGGCGTCGTTGGGGTTGATGGTTTTGGGGATTGTGGCTTGGGCGTGTGTGTTGTTGTAGTGCTGGCTTTGATTTCTCTGTGAAATCGAGCAGGGAGAGCATGACACGCAATAACATACCTGCGACGAAGCGCTATATATACCATATCTCGAGATCTCTCCGGGACACGCGCTCAGCATATATCTACCGGCTAGGAGACCCTCATAATTCTCCGGGATGGCTCATCTTTTCTACATTTCACGTCCATTTTGGACGCGGGCAGGATACACATCTGCCCTACACTTTTCATTTGTACATATGCATAGAGATACAAACAGACCGGCGTTGTGGGGAGGGCTATTTGACGAGGATTACGGCTACTAGGGCGTTTTCTACTTCTTCACCGCTTCGCTTCAAGCCTATATATTTGGTGGTTTAAGGCACAAGAGGGATGTCTACAATATATATACATTATACATAACGAGATCTTGTAATGTTCCCAAGTTCCGTGATGAAGCGATACGTCATAGACCGAGGTGAAAGTGAAAGGTGTCCGGGCAAATGTGACTGCTGGAGCTGAGCGTCCGGGGGAAATCTCCAACGGACCAACTCTTCCGGTGGAAGCGTATCTCCGTAAACTCCCCGCACCGATGCATCTCACTCCCGGCGGGGGGCCAAAACCCTGGAGAAAGATGCCTAGGCCGTTCGATTCAATAGGTTCCGAGGATTTAGGTTCCTCCGAGAGGAGCCTCCACAGTACACTATGCGTACTACCTCCTTCTTCGGACTAGTTAGCTTGGGTTTGTCCGTTGGATGCAGGAGGACGGAGATACTACGGGTTAGTTTCGGTCTCGGACCGACCGCCCTGGAGAGCGTAGTGCACTGAGTACACTCCTGCGCACTATGCCAGCGCACTCTCTGCTCAATAACAGAGCTCCTTCAAGCTTCAACCACCCTACTTTATAACTAGTCGCTGAGGGACGCGGCATACTACTGCGACTGTGGGGAAATAAGGGCGCGAATGGACAGCTTCCAGCCCCTTTCTGGTGTACTTTGTTGTAGTGTGAGCGCAGTCTGGAAGGTCGACGATGTCCCTAGCTGCAGACGCATCGCATTGCACCATCCGCCATCGCCGACGAGGAATTATTAAGCAATCATTTGATCGGATCTTGATCAAGGAAGGAGCATCCAACTCCAAATAATGCTCAGTAATCATCACCGACCTTCAAGTCAGCTTCAAGTCTTGAACAGAGGTGGCATTAGCAATAACCTCAAACTGCAAAGCAAGACATACACATCGCCGAAACCAGAGCCCTCCCAGAAGACGCTAAACCAAAACGGTCGATACCGAGTACCTCGAGCGTCTTCCCCCAAAAAGATGCCTCGGCAAGTCCCCGATCCTCCTTCGAACAGCGAGTCGCATCGTACGGCAAAAGACGCCAGGCAATGAAACCGACACTATTCTGCGCTCCCCCACACTCCAATCTTGCTCTCTCGAACTGCCGTCCCATCCTCCCCTCCTCACTATTTTGCCCCATTTCGTGCCTGGGCGGGCGAGCCGTGGTGCCTCGGGACAGCTTCCCCCTTCCTCTCTGTACTTTTCTGTGTAATATTTATCAACGAGGGTTGCCGTGCCGAACCAGAGTTTCAATTCATAGTTCTCTTTTTTCATTTAGCACAAATCCTCTCCCTGTAGAATTACTTTTTTTCCTACCTTTTTTCTCGATCTAGTCCGTGATACAAGCGAATCTTTCCTTTGGGGGTTTAATACAGCAGTAACTCTTTTTTTTCTTGAACTTCTTCCACAATGGCGACTGAACGTGTTGGCGCTATCCTCAACCACCTCAACCCGAGCTCCGGCCTCGATCGGATGTACGTTCAAAACGACTCTCTCTCTCTCTCTCTCTCTCTCTCTCCTCTTCCACGTTGCGTATGTGTTGAGCTGAGGTACAATGCTAACCAAGCTAAAACAGCCTCGCCAAGAACCCCGATGACATCGTCATCACCCTCGCCGTCCGCACACCCCTCTGCAGGGCGAAGAAGGGCGGTTTCAAGGACACTTCCCTCGAGTACATGATCTACGCGCTCCTCAAGCAGGTGCGCGAGCGGTCCAACCTCGACCCCAAGCTCGTCGAAGACATTGCCTGCGGAAATGTGCGTGTCCCCTCTCCCCCACCCGTTCCTCGGGTTTTCTAGTTGCTGACTTCCTATCCCAAACAGGTCGGCGATGGCAAGACCTCCTACAAACTCCGCGCCGCCGCCCTAGCCGCCGGCTTCCCCAACACCACCTCCGCCTACTCCCTCAACCGCTTCTGCTCCTCCGGCCTCAAAGCCACCGCCGACATCGCCCACTCCATCACCAACGGCTCCATCGCCATCGGCATCGCCATGGGCGCCGAGCAGATGACCGTCGGCGGCGACGCCATCACCGACCCCTTCGACCCCGCCGTGCTCGCCCTCTCCCAGGAGTCCCAGGACTGCATCCAGCCCATGGGCTGGACCTCCGAGAACGTCGCGCGCGACTTCGCCATCTCGCGCCAGGAGATGGATCGCTACGCTGCTGATTCGTTCGGCAAGGCCGAGCGCGCCCAGGATGCGGGCCAGTTCGATGACGAGATTGTGCCTATTACGACCAAGGTGAAGGGTAAGGATGGTGCTCTCGAGGAGGTCACGCTTACCAAGGACGAGGGCATTCGTCGCGGAACTACCTACGAGGGTCTCGCGAAGATCCGCAGCGCCTTCCCCCAGTGGGGCCCAACTACTACCGGCGGCAACGCCTCCCAGCTCACCGACGGCGCCGCCGCCCTCCTCCTCATGAAGCGCTCCACCGCCGAGCAGCTCGGCCAGCCCATCCTCGGCAAATACGTCTCCTCCACCACCGCCGGTCTCGCCCCCCGCATCATGGGCATCGGCCCCACCGTCGCCATCCCCAAACTCCTCGCCATCAACAACATCACCCTCGACGACGTCGACGTCGTTGAGATCAACGAGGCTTTCGCTAGCATGGCTGTTTACTGCAGGAAGACTCTTGGCTTGACCAGCGAGAAGATGAACCCTAGGGGTGGCGCTATTGCGCTGGGACATCCGCTGGGCGCGACGGGTGCTAGGCTTGTTGTTACGGGGCTTTCAGAGTTGAGGAGGCAGAAGAAGAGGGTGCTTATTACTAGTATGTGTATTGGTACCGGTATGGGTATGGCCGGTCTGTTTGTGAATGAGGTTTTGTAAAAGGAAAAAAGAATGATATGGGGGTAGGAGAGGATGTTGCTTCCTGCTGTAGATAATACATTGTTGAATATAAAGCACCATTGTCAAGTCAAAAACACTTCCTGCCCCAGTATGTGAGAGGGAAGTCAAGTACAGATATCCCAAGCCAATAGATCCAATTTCGATTGGTATGTTCCGTGTTCTGTCTGGTATGCAAATATAGAGGTTTATATACCAAATGCAATCCGCTGAAAAAGACCGACTGAAAGAAATAAAGAAGATAGACCCGAATCAAATCTAGGCGGAGAAGCCATCTGAAGCGCCTCCTTCTCCATGCACGACGCCAACGCGATGCCGTTTGATATCGAACAAGTTAAATCCCAACCAAGATCAGAAAAAAAGAGAGACAAGAAGAAAAACGACCTTCTAAAAGGAAAAAAATAGAAAAAACACACGACTCGCTCATTGATGCAACAAAGGCGACCTATCATCCCCAATCCTCCTCCTCTCAGCCGCCACAACACCCTCAACACTCTCCTCCAACTCCGTCATCTTCAACGCCTCGTGCACATCATCAACGTAGTGACCCTCACCGCCGATCAAATCCATGATACCCGACCTCTCGATGAGCTTCCTAACAGGGTGCTTAGGATCCTTGGGCCCCCTGCTAAAGAACACCCGCGCATTCTTCTCCCTGTACGACCGCACGATGTCCTCGAGCACCTGCGTCCCGGACCCGTCCATAGACGTAACGCCGTGAATATCAAAGATGATGTTCTTATTCGACTCCTCGCGCCTCAGACGAGGCAGCGCCGGATGAGCCTGGCTCGTACCATAAAACTCCAAGCGACGCAGACGTGTCTTGAGCTCGCCCGTGTTGGCGAAAGTCAGCGGCTCGGGGATCTTGACGATGAGGCAGCCGTCAATGAGCTCGACGCGGTCAGCGTGCGTCTCGGCGTTCTCGAATCGGCGTGTTCCCGGCATGCGGCCGAGAATCTGGATGCGGGGGCGGGTCGCGTGGCGGATGACCTGGAGGACGGAGAGGCCTATTCCGATGGCGATACCGAAGGCGAGGGAGTAGAATATTGTGGCGAGGAAGATGATGGTCATGAGGCCGAGCTCGCGCCAGCCGCGGATGCGGAGGAAGAAGGCGACGTCGTGGGGGGCTTCCTCGATGAGGGAAACGGCGACGACAGAGATCATAGCAGAGAGTGTGGGTTTCTAAAGTGGCTGTTAGTTTGAGTCTAAAGAGAAGGGCGGGAGTGCTAGTGAAAGGGGTTGAGATGTCTAAGTCTTACCGGAAGATAGTACATGTAAGGCAACAAGAAGAGAATCGTGCACAAAGCAATCAAGCTCAAAAACACACAACTCATCGGACTCTTCCCACCTGTCGCCAACTTAACCTTACTCTTCCCGTAGCCTCCAAAGGCCGGCAGAGCCATGAAGCAACCACCAACGAGATTCGCCACGCCCAATGCCACGAGCTCGCGGTTGGCGCTGAGCTGCATGGCGGGGAAGCTGACGGACCTTCCGAGGTTCTTAACGGCGACGTTGGACTCGAAGAAGCCGAGGAGAGCGATGAGGAAGGAGGTGCTCATGGCCTCGCGGATGTGCTTCATGTTGGTGGGAACGAAGGGCCAGCGGAAGGTGAAGAGACTGCCGGAGGCGGATTTGATGGCGCCGATAATGGCCACACCTTTGTGGTCCCAGTCGAGTCTCCAGCAGAGGATGGAGGCGAGGACGACAATTACGAAGCGGTCGGGGACGTAAGCTACGGAGGGGTATCGCGGCTGAAGCTTGTGCTTGATTTGTCTACAAGATGTATTAGCATAATCAATCAGGCTTGAAGGCTGAAGGAGGGGAGGAGGAGCATGAACATACCGGCAGACCATGATGACGACAAAACTAGTCGCCGAAATGGCAAACGTCAACGTATGCGCCTGACGCCAATTGCGAATCAAAAACGTCAACTTCTCGACACTACTACCATGGCTAACGCCAGCCTTCTTCGCGGCCTCGGTGAGGCCCATCTGGGGAAGAAGCTGATCAACGATAATAACGAAACCAATAGCGGAGATGAACCCTCGCAAGAACGGTCGGCTAAGAACGCTATCTAGGAACCCGATACGAACAAGACCGGCGGCTAGCAGAGTCGCACCAGCGATGCCGGCGATGATGCCGCACACCTGAGCCTGCAGAGCGTCGTCGTTCTCCTCGCCGGACCTCTTCACGATGGTACCGACAAGCAGGGAAACCGTGGCGTCGGGTCCGACCATGAGAGCAGGCGAACTGCCAAAGATGGCGTAGATGAGGGGGTTGAAAAAGAAGCTGTAGAGGCCGTGGATGGGTGGCACGTGGGCAAGGTTATCAGCGAGAGAAAGGACCATAGGGAGGTAGAAGGAGGCGACGGTCAGGGCGGAAATCAGGTCGCCCGTCATGTAGGACCATTTGTACTCTCGAAGCCATGCGAGGCAGGGGATATAGTACGAAAAGTACCTGTGGTAGAGAGGGAGAAACGTCAGTAGAGTGCAACCACAGGTTGGGGGGAACTCCGTCATTTTCACCACCTGAGAACGATTCAACTTCTCGAAGGGGCCAAACTTACATGATCATGTTGGCTTCAACACCAGCCTCCCTCGCCAATTGCTTCGACCTCCGAATCTTCTTACTCTTCATCCTCTTAGAAATCCTCGACCTCCAACTCTTCCCCCTCGCCGTCGACGAATCCCCGGGTATGCCCTGACAATCCGACTCATACTCCGACGTCGAAGCCAAGTCGGTCCCCGTCCTCGTGCTCAGCCCACCGGGGGAGAACGTTCCATGACGGGAACCTCTGCTCGGCCCGCCGTTGAGTTGCTCGAGGAGCGATGACGTCTCGCTGGGGAGGATGGGCATGGATCGGCCGGCGATGCGGGCGAGCTGCTCGGCGTGCGAGGCTGATTCGGCACCGTCGAGGTGGGGAGGGTGTTCGTCAGCGGGCGAGGGGGTCGTGGAAGGCGTGTGGCTTTGGCGGAGGCCGCTTGGTTGCGAGGGGAGGTGGTCTTGACGGCCGCTGCTGGGCGAGGGACCGCCCGTTGGATCGGGTTGGGACATGGCGGCGGTTGGTGAAATCTATTTTAGTTCTTTGTTCTTTTATGCCTTTAATCCTATTGTCGAGGAGGCATTGAATTGGGCCGCCGGACAATTAAAAGAGGCTGATGTCGAAATATCCTCTCGAGGCGGTGTGCTCTTCGATCGGGGCCTGTGACAGGACTGGGGGATTGAGAGTCGATCCTCTCCTGCCTGATGATGTCGTTGAGTGGGGAAAGGACAGGACAGACGAGGCTCCGAGCTGCAGGCTCAGTTCTTATCAGGGGAGCAAAAGCTGATAGGGTCGTGGTATTACCGCTGCCATTGATCGAGAACAGCAAGGCTTAAGGCTTTTCTACAGATATTGAATTGAGGCGATGATGCTCACAACTGGAGCCTGGTCGAAGGTTCAAAATTGTAGCATCAAATTGATCAAATTGAATGGTCCTGAAAGTCTCGTTGGGTTCAGTTAAGAGTGTTTCGTAACACTTCAGGGGACTCGTGCTTTTAAATAGTACCTGAACGGAACTGAAGGATTGAATTGATTGATCATGGCAGGAGTGAAGTACGAAGTAGCGAAGTACAACTGGTTAAGTTTGCCTGGTCGGAGGTATCTATGTACTTAAAGGTAGTTTCCCGCCTTCCAATCCGCTAGTGGCTACAAGCCAGTAACTTTCAGGCCGCCACAACAACACCATTGGCTACGGCAGCCAATAGGAAGCGGCCATATTCGTAAGGCGACAGGGGCTTTCATTGGGCTGCCAGTTCTTAGTACGTACAAATTGTGCACTTGACTGCCAAGTACCGAGATTTTCTTGAAGCCTAAGGCAGCACCTTGACTTGCGCAAGAGTCGCCCCCACTCTGTCCATCATCACAATTGTCCTCGGACTTGGACGACTCTGAACCAGTCTCAAGTCCGACGTCCAACACCCGCCAACCAATACAAGCACCTGTGAGAACGGAAGCATTCGTTGGATAGATTAATTAAAGCTAGGATTGGGGTTTACTCATTAGCCCCTCGCTCACGCGAAGCGCCGGTCCCCCGAGACCTGGTCCTGGAGAACCCCTGCCGTGCTTCCGCGTCATCTGACCGTTCTTTGGCTTCCCTTCCCGCATGTCCTCCCGGATCCAGTTTTTCGGGCTCGTTTTCGCCCAATGGATCCGGGGATGCCCGCTTCAAGGTTTTTGTGGCTTTTCGGGTACGAATCTTTAAGTTCTCGATATCAAAGCTGCTGATTAAGAAAATGTGATATCACGTGATGACGCGTTTCTTTCGTGGTCTTGGCTAGGAGAGGGGGCAGTGGGGGAAGCAGGTCATCGCCGGCCCTGGACATTGTTATCGGGGAGATGCCACTCCCCTTTCCCGGTGTCTTGGGTCAGGGGCGCATCTGGGGGCGAATGAAACTGATACGAAATACGAAGTACGGAATGTCGTCTTGACGGGTGTTATCTTGGCACCGCCTGCTCACCGCCGAGAACGTACACGGGGGACAAAGATGCTCCGATGCCCCTCTTCCCCGCCGTGGAAGCAAACTCACGGCGTGTAACACCCCGTGGCTCCAGTGACTTCCCCTCCAATGCGTTATTGCGTGACTCGGCTTGTCCCTGTTGTTGAGCGATGTGAGTGTCAACTGTCAACCATCAAATGTTATTTTAGGCAGCACTCGAAGAGTTTATCCATCTCTTACTTGTTTCCCTTCCTTGCATATCTCGTATCGCATTTAGAGCACAATGTAACCCGGAGGGCGTAAGCCGGTCTATCCTTAACCATCCCTCTATATAAAAGGCCCCCTCGTCGAGGCCTCAGGCTTACTGCTCTCGACTCCAGTTTCCCCTTGTCGAGACGATCTTGTGTCACGAGGCTTGAGAGATCCTCCCTCTCGTAGATCTTCATCTGATTGATATTGGAATCCTTCCAGAATTCGTGGCAAGCCAAACCCCTGTTCACCGGATCGACTTTCCCCGCTTCCCCGGTGCATCAAGATGTTGGCCAAATCCACGCACGTCTTCGCTCAGCACGGCGGGGTTAACCTCGAGTGTGACGTCTACGAGGACGCCGACTCTTACCCACCTGATTCCCCTGTATTTCTCTTCTTCCACGCCGGGGGTCTAGTTGGGTGGGCACGAGAGCACATTCCCCCCTGGCTTGTGCAGGTAATTCTATTCCTTCTTTTTTTTTTTTTACTATTATTACTTTGTCTTTTCACTTTTTATCATCGCCGGATTCTAGTTAGTTTATGGACCATTTCCCGCTAACCGAGGGCAACAATCCAGGTGTGTTACCAGAAGAAATGGCCTCTCATCAGCGCAGACTACAGGTTTCTTCCCCAGGCGAAAGCAGAGGGCCTCTTGGAGGATATCAGCGCAGCATACTACTTTGCATGGACTTGGAGATCAGACTCTAGACGGGTTATAGTGGGTGGTGCAAGTGCTGGCTTCTTCCTGGCAACTCTCACAGCCCACCACCTCACGCCCAAACCCCTCGCCCTCCTCTCCATAACAGGCATCTCCACCTTCCAACACCCCTTCTTCTCCTCCTCCACTCTCCTCACCCCCAAGCCCCTCACCGATGAAAACATGGCCCCCCACCTAAACATGGACGGCCCCATCGCCACCCGTACCGCAGCGGGACCGACGCCCTTCGTCCTCGAGCGATTAACCTCCTCCGGAGCAAAGAACACAGACTACGTCCCCCCCAAGCCGGAAGATGAAGACGCCAGAAACGGCCCCGGTTACTCCCGCGGCATGCTCTACGACTACTATCTCTACCATAATAAGTTCCCCGTGCTCGTTGGTTCCATCGACCCTGGCTACGGGCCCGTGTTCGTCGAGTCTGGGGAGGAAAAGAAGTTAGCGCCGGGGAAGGAGGACTGGCCGCCGACGGTGATTATTCATGGTGATGATGATTACGATGTCAGTATGGATGTGAGCGAGCACATGGTTAATGCGCTGGGAGAGGAGAGGGTGAGTTTGTTCCTTGCGGGGGGACAGGGGCATTTGTTTGAGAGGGAGTGGTTCTTGGAGGATGAGGAGGATGCGATGGGGGCTGTTAGAGACGCTGTGGAGCGTTTGGTAGCTATCGTTCAGGGGACTTCATGAGAGAGAAAACATCTAATCTTAGTTAGCTCGGGGAGTAGACTTGAGTGTGCCCGTGGCGATGATTCGGGCACATCCTGCGTTACTCTTCCAGGTACTCAGCTCAAGTATCACGCAAAGCCTGGGCAAACAGCACTCAAGTGCCTTTTTTTGTCATGCAGCTGAAATAAAGAGAGCACTGGATCCATATTAAAATACACTCCATGCCTCCACCAGTACGGAAATACCAAGAATTCTCCACAAAATGAAATCGAACCTCCCCAGAATGTCTTCTTCGAGATGCATGAACCCCACCCACACAACTAGTGAGAAAATTCTGCGCACGCAACGCCGAAAACAAACTTGATCCCGTTAGCGAACAGGAACCATCACTCAAGTTCCCTCAAAACAGGAACAAATGGCCTAGTGGCCCAATGGCAAGGCGTCTGACTACGAATCAGGAGATTGCAGGTTCGATCCCTGCCTAGGTCAAAAAGGAGATGGAAACATCTTCATTTTTTATTTTGTTTCTGCCTTTTTGCTGTTATTATTATTATTTTTTCTTCGTATTTTCTTTTTGATTATTTGTCTTCATTTCCCTATTTTCTATTATCTTGTCTATAATTTTTTACGGTTTTTTTAATGTTTATATATATATATATATTTCTCTTGTGCCGTTTTGTCTGTATTCAACCCTTCTTCAGCTCGGGGTATTTTCTTTGTTTTACACTGGGAATCGAGAGAGGTAAAATGGAACTCCAAAGATCACGACGTCTTCTCTTTACCGAGACGTTTGTTTAATTATCCAAATAGCTATCACGCCCCAGCATTACCAACGGACAGCCTCCAACTTAACATTACACCGAGTGATCGAAGGGAGAAGAGATTCTCATAAAGAATCATACATAGCATCAAAGAAAAGCTCACATCCACCTACTCAAACCTCACCTCACCCACCACCTTCTTCTCATCAACCCCCTCCTCCCCGCCACGCCTCTCCCGCTGCAACGTCTCCCTATAACCCGCCATGACGCCATCTTCCACGCTCTCGGCAAACACATCCACCTCGGTCTTGTCGAACTTGCGCGCCGAGACCTTGTGCTCGAACAGCACGTCGAGCTCGGCGAAGGAGCGGCCGCGGGGCTCGGGGACGCGGAAGTACGTGTAGACGACGCAAAGGGCACAGATTCCGCCCTGTATAAGTTAAGACTGTTGTTAGTCGACAGAAGGAAAAAGATGCCAATGGGAAGAAGAACGTACCCAGAAGAAGCCGGTATAGTTGCTCCAGTTCCATGCCCCGGGGTTAAGCATGTAGGGTGTCAAAACGCTGTTCAAAATTCCGACAATATTGCTGCAGGCCCTTTGTTAGCATAAAAAGAGAAACCATAACGGATGCCGATCCCTCGGCCGTCAAACTCACTATAAATTCCTCCCCAAAACCACCGTCTTAATCTGCAACCGCCTCGAACTCAACTCCCCCACAAGCGAATAACAAACCGTCCCCACGGTCAACTGGTAGCACAGCGCCCACACGAGCATGATGCTCCCCGTGGCGAGCGAAGCCTGCTCGCGGCGGGCGTCGGGCACGAGACCGAGGAAGCCGAGGATGAAGAGCATGGTGCAGAGGAGGGAGAGGCCGTAGAGGTAGAGGGTGCGGCGGCCGATGCCGAGGGTCATGAGGAACCAGGCGCCGAAGACGCCGGCCATGTTGATTGCGTATTGGCCGAGGGCGAAGGAGTAGGCTTTGTTGGTGGGGAGGCCGGCTTGTTCGAGGAAGTAGCTGGAGAGGGTTAGAAAAGGTAAGAAGGCGGATGGAGGGGCTTTTTTCTTCTTTTTTTCTTACGTTGAGTAGTTGGAGAAGGCGTTGCCGCTGAGGTTTTGCATGGCCCAGACCATGCAGACGACCTTTCATTGTCTGGTTAGCATGGACTTTGGATCCCTGAAGTGGTTCAGGTATCGGGGTTCTTTATTCTTTACCTCTGTTCTTCGTAGGTCTGTTCCCTTGAAGCAGTCAAGGTACGAGGCACCAGCCGTGATCTAATTAATGTGCGATTAGCTTCAAACTCCAGACCAAGACCAGGACCGTCACGAAAAGGGGGGCGGGGCAACGAGGAGGCAGATTACCTTTTCCTCCAACGCCGTCGTGTGCACCATCATGGCCACCGTCTCATCAGCATCAAAGTCCGTCTCCCGATCGACGCTGGTCAGTCTCAAGAGCGACTTCTTCGCGTCTTCGATACGTCCTCTCCGGACGAGCCACCAGGGAGACTCGGGGGCGAACCAGACGCCGATGAAGAGAGGGAGGGGCCACATCCATTGGAGAGCGTAGGGGCTTGGGAAAGGTTTAGCATGGGAACGGCCTAAGGAGAGGGAAGGATGGGAAAACGCACATTCGATAAGCCCACTCATCTTTCCGATCCAACATGGACATGATGACTCCGATGCCGATTTCCTGTCCGAGACCCCAGCAGAAGTTGATGTAGGTGGTAAGATAGCCTCGGAGAGCGACGGGGCAGACCTCGGAGGCGTACGTGATGGTGACTTTTAACCACCCAGGTTAGACTTCTTTCTTTACCCCAACCTCTTATCTCACGCCAGTAAATTTAAAAGACTTACGAGTCTGGAAGATACCCCATGGCTATATCCAACCCCGTGTCAGCTTTCTTTCCTATTTCCAACGCTTTTTTTTCACCTGAGAGAGAGGAGAGAAATGTTCACTTACAATTCCGCAGAGGATTTCGGCGACGAGCAAAGTCTGTACGTTCTGGGCCGTGAAGAAGATGGCCGTGAACCCGGCGATGCAGGCCAGACAGGTGAGAACGGTCCAGCGGTAGCCGAAGCGTTCGGAGACGATTCCGTTGAGGAAGAGGCCGAGGATTTCGCCAACGTTGGCGCCCTTGGGCTGTGTTAGCAGTGGTGGTGTGGGGAGAAGAGAGAGAGAGTTTGGTTGTGTCAGAATGAGAGAAGGAAACAAGGGCCATACATTACTCAGTCCAGCCTGCCACCTCGCAGGAACCTGATATGTTCCGTCGGGAAGCTGCTCGCCATATTTGCGATTAAACTGGTCAAACGCGTCTGCATGGGGTATCAGAAAGAAAAGAACAAGTCTTGCTAATCTCCACTGTCCTCCTGTGCAAAACCTCTTCACTGGGAAACGGAAACTTACAGAAATTATTCACCAGACTGATATCATAGCCCTCCATAACAATACACGTCGAAATCAAAATGCTCCAAGCAATGGCCTTGGGGTACAGCTTGATACCCTGCCACAGAGTCATGTTCCTCTCCTTGTCGGTTGCGGCTTTGGCGTCGCGCAGGATGGCATTGGCCGACCCGTCGGAGAGCACCGCGCCGGCGTCCGGAGTCGGGGCCGGGGCCGGGTCGGAGTGGGCTTTCTCGTCCGCCATCTTTTTATATATATATATATTTTTCTCTTCCGGGGGTTAGGTTTCCCTTTTGTCTTCTCCTGTGGGGAGTCCGCTTTGTATCTCTACTTGGTTTTATCCGGCGATAGGATTGGGGGGGCTGTGAAGGGGATGTGGGTTTAGGAGGGCCTCAAAGAGCCTGGAAGTGGGACACCATTGAATGTGATGACGATCAATACATTGTCAGGTCTCGAATGGGGTAATACTTTTTGTAAGTCGTTTGTTTCCACTTTGGAATTTTAAACTCTCGCTGAACAGACTAAGCAGGCAGGGAAGAGAGGAGAGGAGAAGAAGGAGAGAGAAAGGTGTGAAGTTGGAGGAGAGTTGGAGGAGGAGAGACAGAGATGGAAGGTCACCCACACGCATCCATCCTACACTACTTCGTACATACAGATTTCCCGCCCTCTCCTCTCTCCACTTGCTAAATTATCGTCATTGCAGCTAACGGAACATTGAACCATTTTTTGTTGATACCCACAAAAAACTTCGAAAGTTCCATTTCCAATTCGAGTTGGCGTTCCATTTCCCACTTGCCACTTTCCAGTGGACTAGACTACACTACGAATACGCATACTTCGTATCTTCACTCTAGCCTCTTCATCCTTGTCCTTGTCTTCTTGCCGAATCCACATTTCCCAGATTTTGCGGTCACACACTACTAAAATTCAATCTTGGGATCGGACTCCACCCCCGCAGGAACATTCGAGATTCAAAAAGTCGGCTGGGGAGACCCCGACTTGGCTCTCACTCTCTCGCTCTCTCACTCTCTCTGCTTAATCCTTGCTGCGGGCGGTGTAACATTGAAGATGCACATGCTCACGGGATACCAAGCGTAAAGCATCTATGAACGAGGCGAGGCCCGTTGATCTCTTCCCCCTTCCCCCTTCCCCCTTCCCCCCTTTCCTTGGCATTTGCCGGCTCTTTCCTTTAAGCTTGAGCCCCGCGAATCCAGATCCAGAATCCAGCTCCAGATCGGCAGTCATATATAGTGCAGTACACAGACACGTCCACATAACACGTCCACATAACACGCCCAGATACAACACTCTTGCGCCTATCCTTCCCCTCCTCAACTCTGAGTAAAAAAAAAGAAAAAAGAATGACTTGGACTTCTTGCCTCTCTCCCTCTCCTTCGTCTGTAAACCAGGACCATCATCGCCTCCCAAGAACCAAGATGTGGGACCCCCCCCCGGCACCACATTAGCCCGACATCTCCATCCTACCAAAGAAAAATCCTCCTCCGCTTCGGCCAAATTAAAATGCATTGCATCGTCGGTCGTCCGACAAGAGACTAGCAGCATTCCTCATCCACTAGAGCCCGTCCAATGACGACACAGGACAATCTCTATCGGGCAAGTCCTCGTGCTTGTTCAGAAAATTCCAACAGTCTTTTTTTTTGCTCACTGTACCGTAAGGTCACATGTACCAGCTTATTCTTTTTTCTTTTCGTATTTTTTCTTTCTTTTTTTTCTTATATATTTTTTTTCTTATTCTTCTTTTCCCTCTTCAATAAATACAGAGTGGAAGTACACTACGGACCATGGTGAACTTCGCATTGGGCCTACATTTATTGCCTTCCGCCATACGACTCAAGTCTACCTGTGTGCGAAACTCTTAAATAAGAGACCTTTTGACCATGTCCCAGCCCATTTCGGGGAGCCCCTCCGGAGTAAAAATCGCTATCGTCGACGACCAACCCCCTCCCTAGCATCTCACTCACTCCTATAGAGTGCTGTGTGCCTCACGAGAGAACCTTCCTTCGCAGTCCCTGTTGAACCCATACATAGCCGCTGGCTACAATGTACTGAGGTATATCGAATATAAAATGCTGACCTGCATCAGAGAACCACGCTCTCATCTATCCCCAAGGCCAAGGAGCATCTACAGTTGTGACAACACAAATTTACAAAACAACATCTAACAGCACTTCAATTGTTAAGGGGGCACGTCTTCATTAGAGCCAGTTCCTCTCATCTTATCGTACAACCACCAACGGCAATCCGTCCCTTCCATTCGTTTGCAATCGCAAATCGAACCAAAAAAACCATCCGCCAAACCCTCTCCGAAGGCGTAAAAAGCAGGAAGAACAAAAAGAGTCAAGACTACAGTCCCACCGTGGCCTTTCCATCCCGATCCATGATCAGAGAAAAGCAGCAAAATTAGACTATGATCTGAACCTCCCACCCCTCCGTTTCCGCCAAACTCCATAAACGAAGTCGAAAACAACAAAATGATGCGTGGCCACCCTCCTGATCAAGAAACATCAAAGGAATCAATCGACAGTCCGAACCCGACTTCGACCTTGAAATAAACGACCGCCGAAGAAACTGCAAACTCCGAAGGACCTCCGGCCCCAGTCAGCTGGTGAATGCGTAGGCATTGCCATCCACGTAGGCCCGCCGACGTGACGGAACACCACGGGGTGCTGAGGATGTTTGTGAAGAAGAAAAAGAGAGCGCGGGGGAAAGAAGACAGAAAAAAAAAAAAAGCACAACGAAGAATCAACAAGACAGGGGGTATAGCCATGACGCAAATGGTAACAAAGGACAAAGGGAAAAAGGAAAACCGAGTCAAAAAAGGAAACTCGAGCAACCATGTTGGCCCCAGTTCCCTCCCTCAAGCCTCGTGGGTGACGCCAACGCTGCCGGAAACATGCAAGTCGATGTTCGTAGTACAAGTTACGCCTGTAAGTGTCGAAAAAAGGAACAGGTATCCCCTCGTAAGACCTCGTGTGACGTGTTAACATGGTGAAATGTCGTGGTCGTGGTGATATCGACTCGATATCACATGCAGAGTCGCTCAACATGATGCGTCGGAAGACGGGGAAAAAGAAAATGAATCGAGAAACAAGTGAAGAGTGAAAAGCCGTAGTAGAAACTTAGTTCTAGTTCGGTTGGCTGATTGGGGGTGTTGGGCGATTCGTCAAAAAAAAAGCGGAACCTAACTTGGACGCCAAAGTATCCGCGCCCTTAATCGTGATGATTAATTGATCCTTCGTACGTGTAGCCTGCCCTGAAGGTGCCGAGGACGCCGTGCGGCCGCAGCTGTCTGTAAAATGAAGTAGAGACAAAATAGGACCAAGGAGGCTGACAAAAACAGCTTCACTTAAACACCGCCACCCATAAAGGCGGCCAGGTCATCCAACTCCATGAGCTGTCGCTCGAAAGCCGAGCACAGCTCCGCAGCAGTCATATCGGCGGGGGCATCGGCCTCCGACTTGGGTTGCACCGCGGCACTAGCAGCAGCGGCCGCAGCAGCAGCCGCAGCCGCCGCCGCAGCCGCCGCAGAGTCGGATTGAGCTCCGAGAGTGGGGGGCGGGGTGCCAGTGGCGGGGGTAGCGGATCCTCCGCCGTTGATCGTGGTAAATCCGGACTTGCGGGCCATGGGAGGCTCACTATCGCCTCGCGCACTGCCGCCGACCGAGTTGGCGTTGTTGATGGCCGCGCCGTCCGCGTCACCTGTCTCCATGGCGCTGTCCGGGTTCGACGCTGCCTCGTCCTTAACCGAGACGGGGGTTCGCTCCTGAGCCACCACGCCGCCAATGGTGCCGCTAGTAGCAGCCTGGCTCGCCTCGCTCTTCAACACTCGCTGCATAACCGCGAGGTGTCGGAGCCATGGGGTAATGAGGGGCCAAATTTCGACACTCTCCTCCATAAGGTGAAGGCCGTCCTTTACTATGTTACCGGCCGTTTCGATCGAATTGGGAGGCGTTAGGCCCTTGAGCGAGAGGTACGCAATCGTGGCGCTCGCCGTAAAGGCGGAGAAGAGCATGAAGATGGGGTAGCAGACGACTGAGTCCTTGTCAGATCCCTGCTCAAGAGCCACGAGCAGAGCCGTGGTGCTATGGCACGAAGCCATAAGGCGATCAACAATCTCGTGGCAGACGGGCGTGTGCTTGAACTCGTCAATATTGACACCCTCGGTAGTGACCGAATGCAACAATCGGCGTCGGTGGAGGAAGATCGTGGCGCAATGGAGAATGCAGTGGAGCATGGCGAAAGTGAGGCCCGAACCCATAGTAATGTGAAGGTTGACTTGGCCAGGCTTGTCGATGAACTGCATCGGCAGAGACGCCCTGAGCTGATCGATCGAGGCAATAAGAGGGATGCACGTCTCGGCGTTGAACGACTGCATCGAGCTCGTGAGCATCTGCACAACATCGCGCCAGATGGTGGTGGCGAGAACGATGTGGCCAAATTCGCCGATCTCGCCAACCTGAGCACCGGGGGGCAAGCCCAGAGGTTCATGCAGCATCAAGGTCTTAACATAGACGGCATTACCAAAGGCAAAGTTCATATCTGAGCAGGGCAGTGGAACGCCGGCGTAGTCGCCGGGAGACAAGGCTGGGTATCGGCCCGGGGTGCTAGCCAGCAGGCAGTCGAGAATGTAAATAAGCCAAAGCGTACGGCGCCAAGATTCGTCCTTGAGGAACCGCTCGGCCTCGGGCTGGGCGTGGTGGCTGTTGAGGATGCGGTGCATCTGCATCATCCGGACGGCCTGGCCGAGGTAAATGTAGGCCCGGACGGCATTTCGCGAGCCCCATTCATGAATGACAATTAGGCAAAGGGCCTGGATGTCGGCAAGGGTCGGATGGTCAAGAGTCTCGTTAATCCGGGCGAGGGCCTTGCTCGCAAAGTGCTCGGCAGCGGCGGTCGCACCGTTTTGGCCACCGTATCGTCGAATAATGGCCGGCGAGCTCCTAAAGAAAAGAAGATTCTGTGTTAGCGCAATCTGTCACGTGCTCGATACTTGCGGGGGGCGAGAAAGTCGAGTCCGGTGGGCAAAAACGAGTGGTAGACCGGGCAGTCATCAGCTCCGAGCCCGACAAGCCGAGTCAACCGTCTCCCGAGGCAGTGCTGTGCTAGGCAGCACCCGAGTTATGCCAACAAGCTTGTGGAAAAGCGACGAGGCGACCTTTGGGGGAAAAAGGGGAAACAAAAATGAAAGCGAAAGTGAGGGAAATTCTTACCTTGATGCACAGCACAAAAGTGCATAAACGAGGGACAGATCCATTGAAAAGGACTTCATTTGCTGGATGAAAGAAGGCTTGTGGAAGGCAACACAAGCTGGGAATGACTTGGAAAGAATGCGCTCACATTCCTGCATCAACTCAGGTCCAATCCTATTAAGCTGTTAGCGTCGTTCATCTTCTTTCCCAAAAGGTACTACAGCAGTGATTATGATAGATGAACCAATCTCATTTAAGGATAGGAAAAATATGTAGATTCTCTTGCCAGTAAGAACAGGCAAGTGAACCATTCATAAGGGGGTAAATGTGATGGGCTGATGTGATGAGCGGTATAGCAGCATGGGAAGCAACGAGTCATTTTGAGACGATGCGATGCGAGTTGCCACAAATGCAGAGTTGCACACAGGAAAAGGGCGGGGATAAGATACAGCAGGTGAAAAGATACAAAAAAGCAACAGAGAACAGAAATCCGGAAAAGAAGAGATAAAAAAAGGGCGGTTGCTTACTTCTCAGTGTTGCTCGGGGCTCCTCGAGAGGGCAACGCGCCGGGAAGGGCGCTACGAGAATCGGCCGAGGCGCTCGATCCAGGGAGGCTATCGCGGGCAGGTCGGTTGGGGCCAGCACGAGCAGGAGTTTGGCCGTGCATGTGAGCATTCGACTCAGAGGGAAGATAGCAGTCGTGCATTCCCTTTGCGCAGTTCCGGCAAGGAGCGCGTCCATTTTCGTAGACACACTTGGTCTTGCCCTTTCGGCAGCGCACACAGGCACCGCCGGCCCTTAGGGCTGTCTGGCGCACGGGGCCAGACGAAGACATGGTGGTGGACCGGAAAGGGGTTGGTGATCGGATTCTTGATCGGATATCGGTTTGAAATGGACGCGTCTTCAGCGATGGGGATGAAAAAGAAACGAGACAGCAGAAGCGCGCAGTCGAGAAGGCGATGCCTTGATGGGGGGGAAGGTTGTCACAGCACAGGCCCTGAATTTGATTCCGGAATGCGGTGTCTTGTGGTAGGGTGGGTGTGGGTGTGCGGATGGGGAAAATAGAGGAAAGAGTTTTTCTTCCTCCGTTGTGTGTGGGTTGGTGAAGGGGGAAAATAAAAAAGAGAAAGACGGAGGGGACGGCCGGGGCGGCTCTGGTGATTTGGGGGATGAGAAAATTAAGAAAGGCTGAAACTAGGGAGAAAGGGAGGGTAAAGGACGGAAGGTTTTTCGGGGGAGGTGGGCTGTTTGGTGAGGCGCACAATCGGCTTTCTGGCTCCCTCTATCCCTTTTTGGACCTGGGGTCGGCCGGCCGAAGCGTGGAAACTTGGCCGGGGCGGGGGTGCCTGAGGAAGCGAGAAAAAAAGAGGAGGGAAAAAAAGTGAGAAGGAGGAAACCGCGTTCGCCCCTTCCAACGCTAACGTTATCCGTGGCGCAGAACCACCGCAGCCGGAGCGGAGTGATGGAGACGGTGGTGGAAAACGGAAGGGAGAAGTGGATTTTTGCTCTCTTCTTTTCGCTTCGTCGATGCCTAGGATGAGAGAGGATTTGGTGAGTGGAATTACAGTGGTCTCTTGAAGTCCTTGGTCGAGGCGACGAGGACGGACGGTTCAGGAAGCCCCGAACTCAGTGCGGGATCTTCCAAGTGGTGGTGGGTTCTTGGCAGTCGTCAAAATCGGGCGAGTATCGGCAGCGACTATCCGACTAGAGAGGATAGTTTTATTCGGTGATGATGAATAAAATTAAACACGATCACCGAAAAAGGTTGACGGATAACTCGGTGATATTCGAAAAATGAAGGAGATACGGGGAAAGAGGAAAAAAAGGACTAATGTGGTGTTTTGTGAATGACGCGAGGGTTTCGGAGCGAAAGGTTGAGAACGTGAGACTAGATTTCGGGGGTGAGGGCGAGGGTGAGGCAAGGGGAAGGAAGGACCAAGGGCGAAGGATCGAATCAATGGGGCAAGGTGGACGTGGAAAGTGGGAAGGGGCAATCAGACCAAGGCACCACCAAGTTTACCAAGGCGCGCTGCGTGCTGCGTGCTTCGCTGGGGGGTACGAATTTGTAGTGTCTGAAGTAATGAAGTATACTGCTTCGTACGGTCGGCGGGCTGGACGGACAAGTCGAAAATAGGTTTACGGCCAATCTCGGGCGGCACGGTCGGGGGGTGGGTGGTCTGTGACCAGCCCTCATCAGAATTGATACTTCGTCCTCCCGTTTTGATCGATCAGCATGTACCGTTTGACTTTACAATCGCTTCAGGGCTCAAGTAGCGTCAAATCTGTATATCGCAGGCCCAGTGAGCGGCAGAGGCTGCCAGTAATACTGTACATCATCGGATGTAGGGCCAGGCAGTGTACTTCGGAGACTCAGAAACGCCAGGCAGTCATCGCTGGCCAGTTCCTGGTGTACTTCGACACGCGGTCGCGGTGGGTACCTTCCAGTAGGCTTACGGAAGGCTGCTGGCCCGGTTCTCTTTGTTGAAAATGCCGCAACGGGCCCTGAGCTAAGCCGAGAAGGAGGAAATGTCACAGGCAGCGACTGCAGCAACGGCAGACATCCCAAGCAAGACGGAGAAAGCCAAGAATTTATTACACATGCTATCGCATCAATACGACAAAGAGATTCTCTGCGACTTACGTTTGATTCGACGGGTTTGGGAGAGACGGCGAAACTACGCGACCGACCAAGGATTTTGGACCCTTTCAATCTTGGGCAGGTGAAGCCCGGACGGATCGGATGTTCTTGCCGGAGCCAGTAACCCCCCAGACCAGGTCGCCTCAGAATGTCGCGGGGAGGTACGAGGTACAGTTCCCCGTTGATATCCAGTGGTTTGATCAATGATATCAATGATCAAATGTCAGCGCACGCCACAACCTTCCATCCCAATTTCCCCATTTCCCCCTGTACAGAGTACAGAGTACAGCCAACCTGGCAAACGATGGTCCGCGGCAGGTGCGGCAACCGCCAGTCGATGTCGATACTTTTAATGTTCCGACAGGTCAACGATTTGAGGGGGGAGAGTTTCGGGGAACTCTGTCGATGTCGACTCGGAGGCCGAAAGTATAAATAGGCGTGGCTGTACTCATGCAGAATTTTAAAAATACGATTCATCCGGTCTTCCAGCCTTCCTACAGTTGCATCCGTATTTGAAGCGCTGCTGTGTAATGGTCGCGGTCTGTGGCTCCTTCCTGGATGGGGCTGGACATCGGGGGCAGTGTGGGAATCATGGACCCCGGAGCACACGAGCTGAGGAAGGCGCAACTGGAGCGGGTTGGGGTGTGAGATGCTTTCCTACTGTACGAGTAGCTCCTACCCCCTTAGTTCTTACCCCGCCGCCGCGACACACGACACATGGAAATCGCAAATCCCACAGCACCACACGCACTTCAACTGTATCCCGGGTCCGTCCCCAGTACCTTCCCCGACCAAGGGAGAGTTTGCCATGTGAAAGATCGATTTCGTTTTTCCGCTTGCGATGCGACAAAGCACACGAAACTCGAATTTCCGACAAACACGACTATTTTCGAGTTCTCCTCTTTCATCACTATTTAATTTTTATTATTTCTCGTCTTTTTTTTTTTTTTTTTTTGTACGGCAACCTCGCGCTTCAAACGCCGGCAGTCTTCGGTTTCGGCAGGGAATGCAGCAGCACGGGTCCAGATCGTTGCCTCGTCGTCCTGATCCGCACCCGCACCCGCACCGGCCGAGGCACTGTGTCATGGTGTAATGAGCCAGAACAGGGTGGGCCGTTCTTGTTCCGGCTTCTCGCGAACGTGACCTTTGCTTCTCTGTGGGGGGGAAAATTAAGGTAGTGGCTAGACTGGGGTGTAATCTTGGAGTACAGCTGGCAGGAAGATCATTTATCATCCCGAATCCCGCCAAACAGAGCCGGGAGTCGTCTTGAGTCGATACCGAACCCAGCTTAGCGAGACCTTGGCGGACCGGTCAAAACACAGTGTCGAGATATTTGGTGAGCGAACAGCCCCCGGAGGTATCAGATCTGGACCTTCGCTGGCTCGACCCATTCCAGAAAGCAAAACGAGGCTCTTGGCCCGGCGACCTTGGGGGCGTTGAGATGTTCTACCTGCGACAGTGCTCCGTACAGTATCATACGGCCACGCTGAGTCTGCCACTTCGAACCCCGTCTGCCCCCACAGCCCGTTGTCCAGCCCCCAGCCAGCCCCGAGGACTTGTTCTTTTTTTGCGTCTGCCAAGCACTGAAGGGTCCTGATTTCCATGCCCATTCCCTTTCCCCCTTAGCCTCCGTGCAAGTGTCTTTTCTCCTCGTTTTTGCCGTTTTGCCTTCGCACATTTTTCTTCTTACCGCCTGATCGACACGGTGATGAACGTCCGAGGCCCCAATCCCGCTGTGCCACCCGAGCTATCCGTTTTCCGTCCTCGGTACCCTCTTACACTCTCTCCAAGCAGTCGAATTTTCTGCCCCATCCGATGACTCGCTAGTTTTCTCGGCGATTATTATTAATTTTCTCGGGGATTTCTTTCTATTCTTTTGTTAATTTTTCAGTCGCGACTTTCTAACATTCCATACTTGTAGGTGGACCCCCGGTAGGTTAGACACAAGGCGTAATTTCACGTCCGTCCGGGAACACCGTGCCTTGGAAAATGTACCGCCGGTCGGATGGAGTTTGCTGGTCATTTCCGAGGATAGCGAATCACTTTCTAAGCCCAGACACGTAGCCCCATAGACGAAGGAGGAGATCGCCAGTCCATGACGCGAGAGGAGAGGAACAGCAGGCGCCAACACGGGTTCTGTTCTCTCCTTTTTTTTTGGCCCCCAAAATGTGCGAGTCGATTCGTACGCTTAGCAGCGGACGCGCCTTGGAGGTTCTAATACTGACGAACTTTTTTTCATTCCCTTTTTTTTTTTTTTTTTTTTGTTATATCTTCTTCTTTTATCCATTTTTACTGCTAGTCACAGGCCGGCCATTTCTCCTCTCTGCCGGTGAAATGAGGGTTCCGCCCCCAAGCGCTAGAACCTGTCGGAGACACAGTGGTCTCCTCGCCGGCACGGCACAAGGGGACACCGGATCGTCCTAGCTTGCCTGTCTTATGCTTCCCACGTAAAGCGAATGGGGCCCTGGCCCCCTCTCAGCCAGCGCAGAGATAACGCGCAGAGCATTTGGAACCAGCCCCGGCCGCCGCGGCGCACAAGAATTGATACAGGAAAATGAGCCCATCCCAGGCCTTTCGTCCCGTTTCGGACCCACCGCTCCGTTAGATTCTGAAGTGCATTGCTTCATACCTCGTTTACTTTGCCCTCATTTTTCATTTCCCTTTTCCGCTTTTGAGGGTCTTTCCTTTCCGCAGGTTTTTGTTCTCCAAATCCTATTTGTGGGGACCGATCGATCCCCAGACCGCAAATGGAATTTGGAGAGAGGGTGGATCGCAGAAAGTCGAAGAACCCCGGAGCCAGCGGTGTGTGAGTGTGCATGCCAACATCGGAGGTCAAGGAATCAATTGTGATCTTTGGGGGCGGCGCAGGAACCGGTTCCCGCAATATTACGCACAATCCAACCAGCGTTCGCTCTTAAGTACGACTTCTTTGCCAACCCTCCTTTTTAGCAAACGCAGACGCGATAATACCGTGATCATCGAAAGAGGGAGGGGGTTACGTGAGTTTTCTCACAGTCGACAGATATCCGAATCATCTCCGAACAGACCCGGTGAGATCATGGGGGACCCTGCGTTCTACGTTCCCGGCAGTGTGGCACACACACACTCGGTGTCTGAGGAAGGGAATGCGAGACTAAACCTTTGGGCCTCGGAGGCCCATGGGCCATTCGTATCACACAATCCGTGTAGTACCGCGGAGGTTATCGACCCATCGATAATTCGCCGTGCTCCTTCGTAAATGCGCAGAGAAGAGCTAGTCTCAGCTTTCAACTTCCGTGAGCGCCCCGTTCGGTGCGGTCCTACGGAGGGACGGAATGGGAGAACCTCCTTTTTTTTTTTTTTTTTTCTCGGTTGTTGTCCTCTCTACACCACATCTAAATTCATCCCCCTTCCCGGCCCCAGGCTAAATTTCCGTGGGAAGCTCCTTTTCATGCCTTACGGACTTGCCGGGCCACGGGATTTGTTCTCACGAAAAGTATGATGCCCTATTTTTGTTCTTTTGCGGGGAAGCGAGGCGGAGGAGGCACATTTCAAATGGGAATGGGCATTTGCCGGATTTGGCTCCCCGGAGTCTGGTGAGGGTCGCGTGCGCGTGCCAGCAACGAACGACGGAGAGGGACCGATATTTTTCGAATCTGGGGGAATGGGAATGGATAGATGCAAAAAGTGGGTGTGTTCAAAAGATTTCCTCCTGTGAAACGCGAGGGACTGAAAGCGGAGACGTTCCATTTCTCGCATACGCAGGGAATAGGTAGGGCTTTTGAGGGAACGCCTCGGCTTGCGTTGCGCGATGCGAGCATCATTGTGAGCTCACGTCGAAACATAGGGCCAGAGAAAGACACGAACCCTGGTTGGGGGCTCTCCAACCTCGTGGGGCACCCTGCCAATCGATTTCCTTTTTTTAACTCTTTTTTCTTTTTCTTTTTTTTTTTTCTCTCTCTCCATCTGTCCTTTTTCGGATTTCCCACCCCCCGCGAAAATCGAATAATTCAATTTACGAGCAGACACATCTCCATGCGACCACGTATCCTCCCCACCCCGATGTAACCTTCTATCGTACGGGTTCTTCCACGACCCGGACCCGATTTCAGGGTGTCTCTGGCTATAATTATCGTAGAGTTGTATTTCGCAGGCCGGTTGATTGGCGGCAGGTCGAAAGGAATGTTTTCCGCGAAACGGGGAGCCAGGGGACAGTTTTCGTGCTTTGTCGACTGAGTCTGTCAGAGCTGGCTTTGTTCCTGAGGTTGTTGGAAGGAGTCTGCCACGCGCCCCCTTGATAAAGTCTTTATTTTGAATTTTTATTATTACTTTTTGGAGCATTCTTGAGGAAATGCTAACGTGGACAATGGCTCGGAAGTCCAAGTCGATCATTTCTCGATGGCCGACCTCGGAAAGGGCGACCGCGACAAAAGGGCTTCCTCTGGCGGCATGCGATGGCATGACGTTTGGCCGAGGCCGGTTTCTGATCGAGGACTCATTCTCGTTGTTGACCCAAGCATTCGGTATCGATAGGAAACCGTGTTCATCATCGAAGGGTTCTGCATCGGTGGAATGAAACTGATATCCTACTCCAGACGTCATGCTGGAGCGATGCCCCTCCACCCAGGTTCAGGATTGGGATTCTCCTTCATGAAAGACGGGAAATGGGCGTTCACAAAGGCCTTCGGAAGCCTGTTTCGGCTTCGGCAAACGAGACTATGGAAACAGCTGTGCCACTTCGATACCCAAGTGAACAGTCGAATCCAAGTTGATATCCAGCGCCTTCGACACATCCGTTGTCAGATAACCATCTCGACTCAACCTTTGAATCGACACACGCAACTATGGTCAGATGGGGAGCTGACTGGACCAAGTGATAGTGATTCAGCTCTTTTGACGAGCTCCTACCTTTCCGTAGAACTTCTCCCGTATCTAAGCCCATCTCTGTTACTCATGGCATGCCGATGTATCCTCAGTTGCTTTGTCCTCCACTTGCTCAAGATACCAACGGGCAACCAAAGACGTTCTGTCCCGGATTATATCCCTTCTCACGCACAACGCCACTGAGTCCAAGAGCACGCGTCTGCCAGGAATTACTACTTGATACCATCTCACTCGACCCCCATCAACCACCTCTCGCAGACCGACCACCTTCAATCTCTCAAAATGCAGGACCAGAACCAGAACAACCCCAAACCCCATTCCAAGCTCTACCGAGTCCTGCCCAAAAACCTCTCAATAGGGACCCGCAAATTCCCAGCCGTGCAGGTCGAAGTCCCGCAAATCGGCACCGCCAATGCCGGCAAGTACTGGGTGACATACGCTCCCGACTATCTGTCGCCAGGTTACATACCCCCGCCGCAATCCGGTGACGCCCTCGCCAATCTCTGCCCGGTCCTACACCCCGGGCACGTACTCAAAAACCCCGCGAACCCGGCCGCGGATATCCATCCGACGCCGTACGCCAAGCGATGGGGTCTGCACCCGGAAGCGCTGCCAGGCAGGTCGATGACGACGCCGACGAGGACGGATGAGAGGTTTTTCGTCGAGGGGGATCCGCAGAATGCAGTACCCGTTACATATAAGTGGATAATGGAGTATTTCGAGAGGGCGGCCGCCGGGGAGTCGATGGATATATCGGATTGGATTGAGGATTCGGTTCGGGTGAAGCGGTTGACTGATACAGATCGGAAGTATTTGGGTTGGTTTGATAAGTTGTGGGAGGAGGAGATGTGGCAGGGGTTGCTTTTCAACGATTCAACTTCGAGTGAGGTATGGAGACGACTAGCCCTACCCCCGGGCAAATCCATGAAGAACGGGCTTGACTTCGAGAGATGTTGGTGTGTTGGGAGGCAAAGAGAGGGAGTGGCTCGGATAGGATGCGACTAAGGAAAAACTCCACTAATTTCTTTCTTTAGCTCCGCGATCTTGACGTCTTTAACATGCGAGACGATATCCCTGCCTGCAATATCAACGTTCCTCTCCACCCGTAAGAAGGCCTTTTCTCCCATCTTTGCCTCAGGCGGAGTCTCCTCTTCTCACCTAGTGAGTGTACTGACAGTTCCTGCGTGGTAGAGTTCTAGCAAGGGATAAATGGATTGCCCCCGTCCAAGACGCCGATTGTGGCAATTACGAGGACGAGCCCCGATGGTTCTACTCGCTTGGAGACAATGTCCATGGCGAGTGGGATCCAAAAGTAAGTTGAGCGAGGCGAATCCCCACCCGCACGCTCACCGACAGCCGGCGCACTTATAAGGAGGGAGAGGGAGGCTCAAAGTGCTAACAAGATGCCAATCCTCTACTTAGAATAACGATGCACTATGGAACGCCATGCTACCCGCCTTCAAACTAGCCAGTGCAATCCTCCACGAAAGCCCTGAATTCCTCTTCGCCCTCCCCCGCCTATGGGAGTACCAACAAATGGACGCCCTCCGCGACCCCCGCGAGCTCAAGACCTACCCTAGGTTCGCAACCTTCGACCTACCCCTCCCGCCTGGCCAGCGTCCTTTCAACCCCATTCAGGAATTTCAGTTCCTCCGAACCCCGTACTATCAGAACATAACCAATGCCGTCTGGGCACATGTCGTTCAGCGGGTGAGATGGGGCATCCAGGGAGGCGCGAAGTTCTCGGGGGTTTCCACTGCTCAGGTGTGGGATCCTTCCACGGATCCCATGGAACATCACTTTATCATGTTTAGCCCCGATGATATTTTTCCGCTCCTCGTACCGTCGTATAGCGGGAGCGAGAAGCTTATGACGAGCTTCTTCATCGCAAGCACGATACTGCACGAGTTGGCTGTAAGTTAAGAAAAAAAAGAAAGAAAAAACAGTCTACCCCCTCGATACACCACCTTTATCACCTCTTGCTCACATCTCCATGTCGATGGTGTAGCACACGACTTATGCCGCCCTGAAAGCCTTCTTCCGTAACCCAAGGCTCCTAGGGCCTCGAGCGACCGGAGCCGATTGGCCGAGGATCCAGAAGGCTCGCCGATTGTTCTGTGAGAGCACGATGCGTGAGCCGTATTTCCAAAACGAGCCCATTGCAGAGCTCGGTTACTCCTTTGAAAATTGGGTAAGCTCCCTATTTTTTATTTTATTTTCTTTTTTCTTTCCTTTTTTTTTTTTTTTTTTTTTTTTTTTTCTTTTTTTTTTTTTTTTTTTTTTCTTTTATCTTTCCCTTGCTAGCTCGCATCGTTCGCCCTGGCACCGCCCTGCTCTTATTCCCAGCCCACTGCCAAAACGCAGCTCGTTCTCTTCCTCTCCACTCTAACGTGCTCTGACCCTCCTTCTTTCTCCCCCCGGGGCAGCTTTTCGGCGGCAAGCCACGTTCCATAATATCCGCCCACAGAAACATGCCTTATCGCCTACACCTCTCCGTCGCCCTCGGCACCGAGCGCTACCCATTCGCCCACGCCTCCGATGGCCCCAGGGCCGGAAAATCGGACTCACGAACCCGGATGCCCCTTATGACTGGGCCGCCGACGGAACCCGACCAATGGCTGATCAACAAGCCCATCCACCTTGTCCAGCCGATGTTCACTTTCGAGTTTTGGGACACCATGATCCCGGCCTACGGCTTGTCCGCTCTGAAGATGCAGGCGGCTCACCATCCCATGAAGGCGAGGATTCCGATGCACGAGAACAGAATCAGTCACTTTTGGAGTTTCTATGCTGGTATAGAGGGCAGTATGAAAGAACTGGAACTCATGTTGAACGAGTTGGAAACAAAAGGTTTCCCCATAGCGGCCAATTACCTCGTCGCCCTCATGGGCGAGAGGGCCCGGTTCAACATAGCAGCCCACCGATGGGCTAAACACGAGGCGGCTTACAGGGCCCGGGCAGTGGGCATGCAGAAGAAGATCGTCGAGGTACGCTGCCTCTGCCTCGAGGCGTATACAGTGAGCCAGTTCAACCTGATGCAGGCCACAGGCGTGCGCGACTGGGAAATAACGCAGCGCTTGACACCCACGCTCGAGAAATGGGCAGAGGCGGCGCGTCTCTATCCCGGCGGGACGGTGCCCGCCGAGTCCGAACACATGGCCGCTGCTGTGGGAAATATCGTTGCGTTTATCCAAGCCGCCCGTGGGGCGTTCGGCACCGTGTGGCGCCGGATTCTCTCTCGCTTACCCGATATCCTCAACTTCTTCAACTGGGAGGTGGCTTTTTTCGAAAACGTCATCTTTGACATGTACTCCATGAAGGACACCAGCCGCGCGAAGATGTCGGAACGGTTCGGCTCCCCCTGGTATGGCGCGCTCGGAAACATGCTAGTCGTGGTGCGCAGCCTCATCGTGCAGCTCGGCGTCGCGCAGAAGCACTATCCGCTGCTCCCCGAGTGGCTGACTAGATTCGTTGAAACGTCCCATCGCATCTCGCTCCTTAGGCGGTACCTCGTGGTTGACCAGAAGAAGCTGAACCCCGTGGAGTGGCGCAAGTTACTGAGCACGCTGGGCAGGGCGAAGGCTTGTCGGCAGACGCATTCGAAGAACTGGGCGCGGTTCGTCAACTCCTCGATGGCGAAAATGACCACGGAGTTGAAGACGAGGTTCGAAAACACCGTGCAGTCCTTGCTCGGGGTGGGGAGCTCGCAGCATCCGCATTACGCGTTCCAAAAGTTCCAGAATACGGGTCTTCCCGTGCTTGACCCCAAAGTCCTGACCGGGCCCTTCTCGGACTTGGTGAAAGTCATGCAACAGGACAATGATGAAGTCGTGGTCAACGTGGCGATGGATATGATCCAGGAGGGAACTCTCAACCCTCTTGACCCCAATTCCATAGCCGGGCGGATCGAGGCTATAGAACAAGAAGTCCGCAGGCGAAGAGCAACGGCTGTGGATTTGCAGAATATCATAAACAAGATAGAGGATATATACGCTTTGCAGAAGGACAACCAGGATCTCTATGAAACGGAAATGACTCTCCAAGAGGCCCAGAGGCTTCGTGCTGGTCTGCTGAGCCAACTCGATGAGCTTGAGCGATGGCATCTAGAGAGTCACCTCGTCGACGACCAGCAGAAAGTCCACAAAGGATTTAACGAGACGAAAAAACTACTAGAAGACCAGTACAAGGCAATTAGCGAAGCTGAGGAGAGGCGCGAAATACTCCAAAGAGCAGCTGAGGCAGTGCTGTCGCCGGAGCAGCAAGCGCTAGCCACCCAGAAGCTAATGCAGGACTTGCTAAGAAAGCAGCAAGAGGCTGCGACGATGCCAGCAGGAAACGTACCTCACACTGCGTGGCCGGCTCAGGATCCGAACGTCTTTACCCCATGGGGTGACCACCACCCCACCAGCATTTTGACGAGTGCTGATTGGGATTTGCGTGATACCAAGTTACAGGAGGCAAGGGAGAGGTTGTTGAAGAAGAGGAAAGACCGCGATAGCGATATATCTCTTCTGGATCCGAACGAGTTCGTGCTTCCTCCGAGGAAGAAGCGGCAGACAAATCTCCAGTCGGCATCTCTCGCGTCGCTAATCCAGAGGCCGCCCTCCCTCCGACGCCCGATCGGCATCGCAAATGATCCTCATCCGTTCGCCACCCATAACCAGCGCCGGGCTCCGTTCGGAGGTCCACCTCGTTGCGACCAACCATTGGAGACACACGGAGATACGCCCGAGGATGTGGTCATGGCGATGGTGAATGAGGTTGAGAATTATCCGCTGAGAGGCCTGGGCGAAACGTACCTCTTGCCGAGCAACGCGAGAGAATCTTTGATAGAGGTGGCAAGGCGCCGTCTGTCGCCAAAGAAAAAGACGAATAAGAGGCGGAGACCCTGATCCTTTACTGATACAGTTTATCCAGGTAATATTGGGAGGAAAATACGGGATTCGAAGAGGTCAAATTTCTCAATTCCAGAACCGTGGTATTAAAATAAAGAGTAGAATCTATACGTGACAGTGTGAATGTACTTGAAAAGAATGCTGCATTTTCCATCTAGGGTAATGGAAATCTAGCTTGCCTCGGCAGGAGGGAAGAATTGACTGTTTCTTTCATTAGCAAGAACCATCTCAAGATCTGTTGGCAGTAAGGGATAACTCACGGTACAGCCTCCTTATAGGCAACCACATCCTTCGTCTCAAACGTGACAAAGATGACCCGGCGCAGACTCTCCCCGTCTTTCCCCTCGAGGAACTCTCTCGTTGTTTCGCATGCAACCCGGGCAGCATCTCGACTGGGATACCCATAAATGCCCGTGCTAATGGCACTAAACGCCACACTTCGGCAATCATTCTCCACCGCAAGCTCCAAGCTCTTCCGGTAACAGCCCCTCAAGGCAGCCTCTGCTCGCTCTCGCCCTAGTTGCCTATACACGGGGCCGACGGCATGAATCACCTTGTCAGCAGGCAGCCGGTAACCCTTAGTAATCTTGGCGTCGCCGGTGTCGCATCCATCCAGCGTGTAGCACTCGTTCACCAATTCGGGCCCCGCTGCACGATGGATGGCACCGTCCACGCCGCCGCCGCCCAGTAGGCTCTCGTTGGCGGCGTTGACGATGGCTCCGACGTGCAGGCGGGTGATGTCGCCGCGGTAGACGCTGACGCGATCGTTGATGGTGGGGGAGGCGGGGCGGAGGGGGTTAGCGACGGGGGTGAGGTCGCCTTTTTGATAGAGTTGGGTGAGGGTGGGGATTTCGTTGAGGGCGACGACGGACATGGTGGATAGAAGTCTTCTGGAGAGCATGAAATAAGGGTTGAGTTGATGGAGTTGATGAAGGAGAGAGCTGAGATTGAAGAGAAAAGAAGAGAGGAGAAAATAAGGTTACGTCACAGTACGAGAGTGGAAATGAATGCTCGGGAAACAATGAAGACGGGTTGAACCTTCCGCATGTGTTCTCCAAGGAGGGGCTGATGATGTCGTTACGAGGGACAGTTGAGGAACGAGGGAAAGAGCGAATGAGCGATGGATTTTGGAGGTCAATGTTCATAAAAATATGAATAATTCTGCGTAAAGCACAAATCTGTGCACAATTTCCCTCCCTTGCAGCGACCCGTAAGTCTTAGGATAGAGCCTTGCAGATTCGCATTTTCCTCCCTTCGCCAATCCGACAAGTCGCTGGCATAAGGTTAATGGGTGGCGGGGATGGCCTCCCTCAAACCTAACTTCTAGTCGTCGAATGAGCCCAACCAACGATATTGGTAGGGCATGCTGTTTTAGTGGCCTCTGCGCATGTTAAGAGAGCACTGCGATCCATCCGCTGTTTCAGTCTTCATGCCTCTCTCAGTTCAAGGTGACCGCTTTCGAATTGGCGGCCATTGGTCGATTGAATAGAACAAAAGGTCCCCGAAAGAAAGAGAAAGATAAGAGAGGGAGTTGACAGGCAGTTAAAGCGGTGGCTCCCTGGCGTTTTCCAGTTGGAAGTGTCTGTTAACTGCGACGAAGGACAAGAGGCTGTTGCACATCTGATGGGACGTACGGTGACGCAAGCTCTAGCACAGAAGGGAAAACCCAGAGGTAGAGGGGAAAGACATTGAAAACAGCCTCTACATAGCCCTGTGGGCTGAAAGTTCTAGACCTAGCTTGGACAAGACGGATGTCGCTGAGTGACCCAAGACTCCATGATGCGGTATGGCAAGATGTATTTTGATTAGAAACTAGAGATGGATTGATGGATTTGACCTGGTAACTTTACAGAACATGTTTAGTTGTTTGCTCGTCGATGTTGTGTGAGGGGAAAGGGAACCAACCTTCCATAGTTTGGAACCAGTCAGTCAGCTATCATCGCGGTTAGAATTCAGCTCTCGTTCTCAGGTAGAGCGGGGAAACGAAACGTCGAACTATCTGATTGTCCGTAAGCCCACCAGCTCGCCCATCGGTCTGGGACTGGACTGCCTGCATACCTGCGCCCTCAAACTCAGGTCTCGACGAGAGTCACAGGGAGCTCACATACCTACCTGGCGGTCGGCCGATTCACCAAGGAGCGGAACGGAAGATTGAGCGAGACAAAGGCGTATTTACCCGGAGCGGGTCCGGCCCGGCTTAGGGCCAGAGGAGAGCGAGCATGAAAGTGAGAAAATATTATTGTGTGCGTGAGTGAGTGTCGAGCAGAGAATCATTATCCCGGAAGTGGCCCCATATTTGCAGAGGCTCCCATCTTGTTCCAAAGTATGACAGACTGGACTATTGGTAGCTCCACGTTTCATGATGGCAGCTGTGCTTGGCTGTGTCTTCTGTCGTGTCTTGTCAGAAGTCGTGATATTTGCATGTGGGAAGGAAAGACGGGTGGTGCCTGCCCCCAGTCAAAGCGGGTGAGATCCCAGGAAAATTGGCCAATCCGAAACACGTCAACACGCAGCTTCCCTCTTTCCATATCACCAACCTGTACACGAAACCGCCATCTGAATTAATTGCTGGCAACTTGCATCGACATCATCATCGGTATCGGCGCCGCACATCTTGCGTCTATCGGTTGGCTTACTTATTCTTCAATTATGATTTCGTCCAGACTTTTCTCTGTGGTGCCAGTGCTGATTGGGGAGACGTCTTGTCGATGGTCGTGACCCTGGACGAGGAGGGCTCCCTCACCAAGATCTGTGACACGGCTCGCACAGCCGCCATGAAGGCGTCAGTTTCAGACCCTTGTCCCTGGTCTCACACTGCCGTCGAGGTCTGTCGTCCCGTTTCGTCACCACACTTGCCCATTGTCCTATTCTCCCAGTTTTCAAAGCACAGTGTATGCTGACCTGCTCCATGAAGAAGTCCCCATCCTACCAGGAGGTTTGGGCTTGCATCTTCGCTAGGGCTCCTGGGATTCGGCTGCCTCACACCGTTTCTTTAAGAAACGGAATAATATAGGAACGGCTTTACTATTACAGTCTTCTGTCGTACTGAAGCACTGGTGCCGTCGCTCTGCAGTTTCGCCAATACAATCGCTGTTGCTCCGAAACATCTCCCATCTCAATCCCACCTTTGTTTCCCTTCCCCGAGTTCAGATGCCGACGATGGGATGCTTTTCTCGTCGCATACAGGTGGACGGGAGTCGGTCCATGTAACCCACCTCTCCCATCGAGGCCGCACGATGCCGCTAACACAACGGTTTCGATGTAAAGGCAGCCACTCTCCTGGATTGCCCCTGAATCTGGATGTGGAGCAGCAGTCACCGGCAGCCACCGACAGCTCGAGCAACAGCCGTAGTCGGACATCATCCTAGCCTAGAGCAAGTCTCACCACGCTGATATCCGAACGTAGTAATGTCGATCCCTCACCGGATCCTTCCCGGCGGCACCTTCATCCCCAGATTACTCTTAAGAACTCTATGCCCTGCCCTTGATCCCTGCCTGTTCATGATTGCCGTTATCATTGTCAATCATTCATGGTCTGGCTCTCCTCTCTTCCGACCTTTTACACCCTTCCTGTGGGACAGTCCGTCTTATGTGCTTATGCCCATCCACCCATACGTGGTGTAGTATTAACCCGCTGTCCATTGCCCATTTTCTATCCCGTCCCCTCTGTCAATCACGCCAAGACGACTTAAGCCAGCTCTAGTCAATGCCGCACCATCAAAGATTGATCTGCTCATCATCCATCTAGCGAGGCAACACCAAGGACGATCTACTTCTCAACAGCGTATCCGACGCACAGTAGGTCTTGTACAGCTTCCTGCTCTATGCCTTGTTCGGTTCCATCCTCCAATTCGTCTCACATTTTCCCCACATCATTTCCTGGTTGGCGTTCGTCCTGGGGGCTAAGGTAGCATATTATCGAACAGCCTTACAATACCAAAGGCGTTTCTCACCTTCCCAAGAGTTCACGCACTCCTTCATCACCACGAAAACGACTCGAGTTGACCCGAAATCTTAACTGAAGGAGGGTCCTGTGAGTCGCTGCGCCGTCGGAGTCGAGACGAGAGCGAACCTCACAGATTAGAGCTCCGCACTTATACCCGAGCGATTGGGGGCTGGCTTTACTGCGGCGACCCTTTTCTCACCATTTCCTTGCCTTTCGAGGGAAAAAAAACGACCGACCGACCATGGTTTTCGAGTTATCCAAGGTTCACATGCTGCGGTAGTAGTATGTGTCGGGCATCAACAAGCCAGGAATCGAATTAAGCTCTGATTGGAGCTTGACTCTCACACAACCCGCATCTCCGCGATCTCACCCTCGGAGAATCCTGGAAGCCATGTCTTCGATTTCCGATCCAGACAGCACAAGCGCAAGTCCTCGCTCTCGTAGGAAGCGTAGCCTATCTGACTACCATCAACATACCCGCCAACTGAGCCAGCACACGCCGCCCATCTCATCTTCTAGCAACTCCGCCGCTCCCAAATCCAGTTCCCCCGCATCTCCAGCAACTTCCGAACGCCCTTATCACCGATCCAATAGCTCATTTAGTGTCCCTCGCCGATCTCCTCATCATACGCACTCGCTTAAGAATCTGAGCTCCGCCTCGAACATTTCTGACGCAAGCACTTTGATATTACAGCCCGATGTGTCGCCCTCACCTTCTCGGAATGGGCCCGACTTTTTTGTCCAACAGGAGCAACAACAGCAGCTGAGAGCCTTCGAAAGGCCGAAAGACCAAACGTCAACCACAGTCTCCGCGAACTACCTGCCGAGCGATCGATCTTCAGGTGCCGAAAAGCTGGAGGATGGCCTAACTAACATAAATCTGCCATGGAGGCCGCGGTATCTCAAAAGGCGGGTAATGGCAAGCTTTGCACTGGTTTTCGCCGCACTCATTGCCCTTGCACAAGCGATTTTGAATTATTCCAATAACCACGGCGGATTGGGGTATCCGAAGAAGTATACTCATTATCTATGGCAGTATGGAGGCACTGCCGTCACCACAGCTGTTCTCGTAATTTGGAATCGCGTCGACTACCAAGCGAAAGCTACAGCTCCCTGGCTTCGGCTGTCCAAGGGTCAAACCCGCGCCGAACAAAGTCTCTTGCTGGACTACGTGTCAGATTTCCAATTTGTTGCGATTTCTAGGGCATTAGCAAACCGCGACTTCCTTGTCGCAATCGTCACCTCGATTGCCGTGCTGCTCTGGGTGCTTATACTTCTTGCAACTTCGATCATCTCTCCCGCCTTTATCGGCATCGCAAAACCAGACACGCCCATTACCCTTCGAACTGCATTCACCGATTCGAATGCGGGGCTACAGACTATCGGTCCGGCCCCCTTCCTGTCCATGGTTGGCGTGGCTTTGACTGATCTTAGCTTCCCGGATTGCATTTCGAACACTGTCGCCTACCAATCTTTTACTGCTGACCTCCTCCCTGCATCTGCGCAACTTGACGTGGTTGTTGATGGATTCACGAGTGCCCTAGATTGTGATCCCGCCAGTATTGCCCTTAACAGTCTTAGATATGCTGCCTCAACCTCTCAAACAGCTGTTGGTCTCGCAGTATCTACCACCACATGCTCTATTGAGCTCGAAGTCATGACATCCGCCCTTATTAGTGAATTTCAAGGCCACAACAGTACTTATCTTCTATCCTTCCAAACTGGGTCGTGCGGCGGGTCAAGCTCTCCCGACGACCAAAGGATCGCCATCATTTTCCTCAAAGTTGACCTTGATCCGAACTCCTTCACGGAGTCGCCGCCTACCGAAGATACCACCCTTCAAGGATCGATCTCGAGGTCAACGCAGCTGCTATGCAAGCCTAGGTATAGTATAACGCCGGTCGGTGTCGTCAAGAGAGGCGAGGAGCTGGAGACTATTGGAGAGATGAAAGGAGCGACAACTCGGCAGCTGGCGAATGTCAGTCCAGCCGATCTGATTGCTGCCCATACAAGGAGCTACCGATCGATCGACGAGCGGCGTGGAGGAGGAACCAATGGTCCTTACACCGATCCTGCAGAATTCATCGATAGCGATGTCTTTATTGACGCTGACCTACCTATGCTTGGAGCTTTACATTTCAAGGCTCGAAGATCAGGATCGCCACCTGCTCTTGGCAACCTCGAAGACTCTAGCTTTCTAGCTAAGATGGTCGATGAATATTTCCAGCAATATATGGTTTTTATCGCCCGCGAGGGCCTTATGGAAGATGTATCACTACCATCAACGGGAGTTGCCACGGTAGTCAGCGACCGGCTTGTCGTCCGGTCTGGGCCCATTCACATCTTGACAGGAATTCTCGGATTGTGTCTCATCCTTTCGGTAACGGCAATCTTTTTCGTCCCAAAGAAGGGGTTCCTCCCGCGTACCCCCGATAGCATCCTCAGCAAGGCGACGCTGCTGGCGCATAGCAAATCTCTACTTCAGGCCCTTCGAGGAACTGGCGCAGCTGAAACGAGGACCCTGCGGGACCGCCTCAAAGGGTCGGAATACTCGATAGGCGTTGAATCATACGAACGAACCGCTGATAACGGTCTCGGTTATTTCAAGATTTACAACGGAAACCCGGCCGAACGGGGCAACTTAGCCGAGTTAGGGAAGAGAGGGCACTACCAGCCCCTTGCGCTGAGTCCTGCCGCAAGGGTTTTGGGCATCTTGACCCTTGCGGGAATGATTGCCGGACTGGAAGTGCTGCTCAGAGAATCAACGGCGGCTAACGGCTTCATCGACATCCGTGATGATGGCTGGTATCACTTGCTCTGGACCGCATCGGGGCCTGCACTCTTGCTTGGCTTTGTCGCCATTTACTTTGCTGCGGTCGATACCTCCGTTAGAGGATTGGCTCCGTACGCCGCACTCAAACGGGGATGCGTTTTCCACCGGTCCATCGCGATGGACTATCTCGACAAGTCGCTGCCCCGCGTCCTCCATAATTCGTTTACCGCGAGAAATTTTACCGTCATGGTCTCTGCCCTGGCTGTTGCTCTCGCCGCAACTCTCACCATCTTCTCTGCCTCTCTATTCTCCGCTGTATCCGTTCCACTATCAGCCGATCTGTCCATCCCAACCGCAGATTTCTTCGCCACCACGGTGACCGAGCCATCGACCAAGGTACTCACAGCAAACTCCGCCACGGACGCTCTAACGGTGTCGCTGATCCTAGGTGCCAATTTTTCCTTCCCGCCATTTACCTTTGAAGACCTCGTCTTCCAGACTCTTGGCCTCGAAGCCCCTCCCGAGGAGGTGTCGCCCTTAGATCAGGAGACGGAGGGTGCGAACGACCCCGAAGAACTGGTCGTTTCGGTCAATATCCCCGCTCTTCGCCCGAAGATGATGTGTCATCTCTTTTCTTCGGGAGACGTCGCGACGAATTTGACGCTTGATAACTACGAGATTAGGGGTAACCGAAACCCGCTGCGCATCGACGTCCCCGGCGAGCAATGTTTTAGCAGCGGTGGCGATTTGGAAACGAGCAACGCAATCATCTCGACCCTCCCAGGAAACGGCACTACCAGTTCCTCCTCTACCGAACCGCTCCAGTTCGGGCTTTCGCTCGCAGCGCGAGGAATATCGCAGTGCTCGGACTGGCTCTACGTCTGGGGCACGGTCGCCAACGCTGGCACAAACGATACGGCCGTTTCCAACGTAGGCGTCTTCGCCTGTAACGAGACAGTCGAAGCCGTCACCGTTACCGTCAACTTCCACGGCCGCAACTTTGAAATTCGCCCCGAGGACCCTCCTGTGGTCGACGAATCTTCTGCTACTACTCTCGGCGGTGAAGGTTTTTCTTCCGTGGAGCTGGAGCCTCTCGCGTACGAATCCCTGGTAAAAGTCTCAGGCGCCGATCTCCTTGATCCGTTCTTCAGCCTTCTCGTCAACTCTCGGTACGCCGTGCCCATAGAGTCCCTATCCTCCTCCAACGAAGCAGCGATGCAAGCCGTAGCCAACGGTATCCTCAAACACCACGGCATTTTCCGCGCACAATCCCTCAACTCGAACCATCGCGTCTCCTCCACCACCACCACCATGTCCATCACAAGCGACGCCACCACGCAATCAAACCTCACGAACGCAATGGACTCCCCCTCCACAATTCCCGCCTCTGTCCGCTCCTCCACCGCCCTCTCCGGCCTGCGGCGCCTCGAACAAGATCCCCTAACAACTCGCATCCTCCAAGCTCTCCTATCCGCTATCCTTCTCCTCTCCCTCATCTCGTGGATCATATCACCGTCTTGCAAATTACCCGCGCGCAGGCCTCCGCACGCCATCGCCTCCATCGCATCCCTCCTCGCCGACGGGAACATCTTTGGCTTCTTGCCTCGCGGGGCGGAGTGGATGACCGAGGCGGAAATCGAACCCTGTTTCATGGACGGGAGCCGGACAATGTCTTTTAAGATGGGCTGGGAGGCTGTCCGGAGGAGGGGTAGAAGAAGGGATCGTCCTATGGCAGACGATGGTAGGCAAGGGGAGGCGTATGCTATAAGGGTGGTGAGGACGGGTGGATGGGGAGGTGGAGAAGAGGCGGGCATGGGGATTTTGGCGAGGGTTGCTATGGGACATCGGGGGTTTGTTAAGGGGTGGAGGGAGTAACTCTCTCTCTTTCTCTCTCTCTCTCTCTCTATATGCCGCTATTGTTATCATCATCTTTCTTTTTATATATGTTCATCATGGGTATGAGTGCCGACGGAGTTTATGGAGTTCCGCGTTCTATACGATACCAAAAAGCTGGGAGCGAGTGGGTTATCTGTTTCACCTCTCTCTCCTTGTTTTACTTTTCATTTCATCCCTGGCTTGTCTAGGGGATCGGAACAGGCGTACTATATTTTTCTTTTCCCTGGTGTTCCTAGATCTAGGGAAGTTGATTTGGGAGGGAAAGACCGGATGTATGTAGACTAGATGGAATTATGGAATATCACACTCCAAATGAAAGAAAGGAGTCTTCAACTTTACTCCGTGTTTCGTTAGCCACCGATGGCCGTTTCTAATTTAATTTCGTCTATTGGTGTTGAAAACATTCTCAGATGGGGTCAAGGCTAAGCGGTTCCTGTCCATGGATGGGATACGCCGATAGATCCGATTTTAGCAGAACATTCCTCGCCTCCGTTGGAGATGCTAAACACGCTCCCTCGATGGGTAGCAGAGGAGTAGGATATTAGAATATCGTAAATCGAATCAGTAAAAGTTCGTTTGGAACGCACCTTTCCAACTTTTCAAAGTGGCGGTTTGTCTGTGTATGTGTTTTTTTATGAAAATTTGGCTCTGGCATTCCAACGACTCATAGAAGCTCAAGTGGCCGAGCGGTGACGCACTGCTTATGAACAACCTCCGCAAGGCGCCGGCGTGGAACCCGGTCTGGTCAAACTATGAGGGCGTGGAGGAAATGGGAAAGGGAAAGGGAAGTCTGGGAATTGGGGAGGGAGAAGTGGGAATTTCCCCCCTCGCCGGTGCTAGTTTCATCTATATTATACTAGACATTTTCTCTTCTTCTTTCGCGTCGGGGATCCTCTCTCCAGGGCTCTGTTTAGGTTGTGATATCTCGAGGCTAGAGGGAGGGTGGAGTTGAGGCGGGGAGCGATGCTTGGAGACACTGCTGGTACGGGACTTTGGCAACTTTTATTTTATTTATTTATTTTTTTATGTGCTTGACTCCCTCCAAAGTTGGGGACATTTTCACCTAGTAGTATAAAAATGTTCAATCGCTCACTTCCGAATAATCCTATGGAAAGAGTATTCAAAAAGAATGGCAAAAATGTAACACAGGCGAGACAAGTTCAACAGAGAGAAGATTTCAGAACGCCTCGTAGAATCATTTGCATAGTGGGAATCATGTAGACTAGAGAAGAAGGAAGAAAACCAACTCAAGAATGGGAGATGAGTACACATAGAATCCATGAAAACGAGAAGAAGAACCGGTTCTAACCCCCTTCCCGACCCCCAGCCATGTTTTCTACATACAACAACACACAGAAAAAAAAAAAAGCTTGTTCCAATTCACTACCTGAGAGGGAAATGGCGGACTTGCACCAAGGTGAGAGAGAACAAAGCGAAAAGGGCTTGCCAAGAAGGCTTAGAAGTAGCTCCTCATGGCTTCCTGGTATCCGGTTCCCCCCTTCAAGTCCCGGTCGAAGCTCTTCAGCACGTCGAGCACCTGGCGGATGTGCTTCATGCTGAGGGGCTCGCCGCGATTGACCGCCAAGGCCTGCGCCGTGCGGACGGTGTTCTTGATCTGCCGACCGTTGAGGTCGTGCTTGGCAAGATCCGTGTAGTCCTCCTCGGAGAAGGGCATGAGGTCAATCTTTTCGAGGACCCTGACACGCTCGATGAAGATCTTGAAGATCTTCTTCTTGGCCTTCTGGTCGAGCGAGTCGTAGCGTAGGGCGATGTGGATACGTGATTGGAAGGCGTCGTCAAAGGTCTGAGAAGATGAAGCTGTTAGTGACATAGGGTTTCCTCATGACAAGGAAACGGATCGTCGAAACATACCTCGACACGGTTCGTGGTCAGGAACAGAATACCCTGGAAGTATTCCAGCTGCCGCAGGAAAATGCTGACAAGAGCATTGCGGTGGATGTCATGCATGTTGCGCTTCTCGAGGAACACATCAGCCTCATCAAGGAGGAGGATGGCGCCCCAGGCATGGCAGATGTCGAGGATCTTCTGGAGCTCTGATTCCAAGTATCTCGAATCCGTTCCAAGCTCTCCGGCAGAGGCCATGTACAGAGGGCATTTGAGCAGCTCGCTGATACCCTCGGCGGTCAATGTCTTGCCAGTGCCAGGAGGTCCGTGAAGGACGGCTAGAAAAACACAACGGAATTAGCAACTTGGCTCACCGAATCCCTACTCTTTCGCGATATTTAACTTACCAACAAGACCCTTGCCCTTGCCCTGAATCACATCGTCGATGCTCTCCGCAGCATGGTACTTGTGTGACTCGACCAGAGCCTGCCACAGACGTTAGCAAAAAGAAAAAGTGACTTCCAGAGAAAGCTTCTTTTCCTACATACCCTGACAATGTCCTTCGTCTTCGGCTCAAGAACAAGCGAGTCGTAGGCGCTATCATTCCACTGAATCTCCTTGATGCCGGAAACCGTGAACTCGAGCCAGAGCTTCTCCGAAAAGGCGAAACCCAGCACGACGGGCGACGCAATCAAGTACTCCTCGTCCGAAAACTCCGGAGTCGCCGGCTTCTCCTCCTTGGCATCCTCGACGTCATCCTTGGCGTCGTTGCCCTTGCTGGATTCTTTATCCTTGCTCTGCACAGTATCAAGGTTCTCCGCCCTCTCATCATCGGAATCGCCCCTGCGAACCCGGACGGCGCGAACATTCCCGTCTTTATCCTCGATGAACTTGGTCACATACTTGGACCTCCGTCCTTCCTGCTGCGACGTCGAGCTTTCGCTGATGGAGCCGGTGTCACTTTCGCTCTCCGATCCACCACCGCAACAGCAGCTACCATTCTCATCGTCGGAATCCTCGTCATCGTCGGAGAGATCGTGGTCCCTCGGGCGGACGATCGAGATGGGGTAGTTGGGGTTAATTCGCCGGTGGATGGCCGGGTCAACCATGACGCGTCCGTTGATGTTCACCTTTACTACCGCCTTCTTCTTCTTGAAGTACGCCATGCCTTGGTGGTTCTTGTAATGGACACCACTGAGTTGTACGAACTTCTTGCCCCGCTCAACGAGGGTCTTGCGGAGCTCTGTCTCGTTCTTATGGTAGCTCAGAGGGTAGCAAGGAAGAGCGGTGATCTTTCGGGCGCCCTGAAAGTCGGGGATATCGACGGACATGCTTCCATGGCCGAACTTCTTACCGTCGTACTCGAAATACTACAAAATATTCGGGTTAGCTCGAGAATAAACGTAGAGATTATAGGTGACTCTCTCTCCTTACCTTTCCTTCGACCCAGTAAAAGTCACCCCGGGCCATCGAGTAATGCTTCTCCGCCATATCGACCTTGAAGACCCTAGGCTCATCGTGGCATCCGTATGTCGCAGTGTAAACTAGAGTGCCAGGCTTCCATAGAGCCCAAATCAAGTCGAAGGTGATGAGGCCGTTCTCGAGCATTGGATAGAGACTAAAAAAAAATATTTAGTAGTTAGTACATCGTGCCTTGTCGTATTCGTGCCGCAGCCCGAAGGAATCTTACCTCTTCTTAACTTCCGCATAATCATGATCGAGGTACTTAACCAAAGTCCTGAGTTGACGACGCCTTGTCTCGTTTCGCTTCTGATCCCTCTTGCGTTCCTTCTTGGTCGATCCCGATGGCTTCGCCTTCTTCAGCTTCTTCACGTGCGCCCGCATGTCTTCAAGATACAGGAACAGGATATTGGGGTCAAGCTTGGGGGTTTCTTCAACCAAGCTCACGCCCTTGATGTGACCCATGACATCCTGCAGGCAGTCGCGGAGGACCTTGCTCTTGATATCAACATAGGTCGACTTATACTTGCCCTCCCAGTCAAACGTACGCCGGACGTGGAAGAGATAGCCCTTGTACTTCGGATCCACGGTCGTCTCGGCAGTGTCCTGGAGCTTGTAGTTGTGAATCGAGCTGTCCCACACTTGATCCACGCGCTTGTAATCCATGCGGCCATTCTTGGAAGATTTGCCCGAGTTCTTCTTTCCACTCTCTCTCCTCCTCCTCCCGTCTTCGTGGGGGAGAGGAAGTCTGCCGCCGGGACGTCCGTTGCCGCGGAAGGGAGGGATACCGCCCAGTTGCCCAGGGGTTGGCTGATTATGCAACTGGGGTTGGTTGGGGAAAGGGTTGTTGATTCCGTGGCCCATGTCAAACAAACCTAGCTGCAGAGGATAGAGGGCAGGCTGGTTGAACCGCTGCAGCTGCAGTTGCTGGAGCTGCTGCTGGAGCTGAAGCTGCTGTTGTTGGAGCTGTTGTTGTTGGAGACGGAGATCTTGCTGGTTCTGTCGGCTGTTATCCAACTCGGAGCCATTCGTCTCTTCCGTCTCATCAGTCTCGTTGCTCTCGTCAGTCTCGGCACTGTTGTCATCGTCCTCCTCCCTGTCGCTCGCAGCGTCGGAGTCAGAGTCGGAGTCGGAGTCGGAATCCGAGGCCTGAGCCTTCTTCGACTTCCTTCTCTTCTTCTTCTTCTTAGATTTAGCAGCCTTTTTATCCTTGTGCCTGCCAGACCCCTTCTTGGCCGCCCGCTTCGACTTCTTTCTCGTCACCTCTTCATCGGAGTCAGAGTCTGATGCATCGCTATCATCGTCGCTATCGTCGGAAAATGCCGAAGCATCGGAATCCGAGTCAGAATCGGAGTCGGTTTCGACAACCTTGGTCTTCTTCGCCTTCTTGGCTTTCTTCTGCGTCTTGCTGTTCTTCTTTGTGCGGTGGTTATGTTTTATCGTCTCCTTGCCATCGTCTTTGCGATCGACCATCTTAGAGTCGGACTCAGCCTGTTTCTTAGACGTGGCCTTTTCAGAGCTCACAATGGTTGAGTCGGTGGTAGACTCCGGCTTGGGAGTGGCGTCGGCTCGCCGGCAGGAGTTATCCTGCGCCTCCATCTCGCTTGGCTGGGGATCCATTAGTGACTGAGTTGAGAGCAGAGCGCAGTAGAGGGAAGTGAAGAAATGAAGTGAGGTAAGGTGTGCGGTGGCGCGGTTGATGACGGTTTAAATAAGAAACCGGGCAGGAGCCTCAATAGGAATATAAGCTGGCCAGGCTGGGGCCTTAGGCGCACACAGCACAAACGGGGACACGATACAACGGCCAAGGACAAGAAATGCTCGGATGACAGATGACAGCCAGCATTAATAAGAAACGGCCACTCAGTTCCCAAGTCCTGGGGGCGGGCGGTTGAAGGTCTCACAACGACACGGCCCACTAGGTCCACGTTCGCTCAGGAGGTTTGCTATCTGGAGAATGGGTCTGAAGTGAGACAAAATCATGAAACCAGAAAATACAAACTCCCATCCAACAAACCGCCAAGGAGATAATGAATCCAAATGATGAGCTGAGGAAAACAGAAAGAACGAGTATCCTCGCAAGGCCCTTGAAACGTCACGATAGTTCCAGCTGGGTGGTGGTTGATGAAGGGGGCAGTACCAAAACAGCTCACTTGGGGCGGGGTGAAAGATACAAGATACATCAACCAAGGGTACAGACCGGACCAACAAAAAAAGGTTGGAATTCACTGGACACCTTCAAAATTGAGCAGGTCCACGGAAATAGAGAAAAGAAAAATAGTGAAGTGCAGCCGCAACTTAGGAAGAGGCCAGGTTTGGGGAAGCGACCAGGGAGAGCACCAGCTCAATGCGTCTGGCCAGGCCCAATCCGAGTCTTCCATGTGATGGTGGAGAGGATCAAATGCAGAAACAACCACTGAGCCAGTGAATCGATGAGCCGCTACCTGTTGTAATACTTCGTTGCTACACTTGTGCTTGCACTTGCAGGTCGCGGTTGCCCGTCGTCGGGAAGCTAGACGGGAGGTACAATGTCTGGTACCCTTTGTACCCTTCCTTATGTCATGGGACGCAATACAATTCAAATTGTACTCGCACAGCCGAAGACGTCGGTACGGATACATGCGTACATGCGGAAAGCCCCAGGAACAACATCGCTGGTCAGCAGCTGGTCAGGCCGCTAGTATGGAGTGGGCAGACGTGCGTGAGGATTGGTCCTGAATGGGCTAGGTGATGCCTTACTTGGTCCAAGTGGGTGGGTAGGACTGGCGTGGAGGGCTGCCAGAATTACATCCCCATTGGTACAGGCCCGTTCAATAGGCAACACCCAAGGATTCAAGGATCCGAGAATCGAATGGAGTATGGAAGGCGGAACGCTCTTGCAGTGGGGGCCCGCGGATATTTTGCCTCTTGACAAGGGGGCCGTGACTGTACAGGGAAGGGAAGCAGAAACGAGACAGGAAAAAAAAAAACAGGGGGAAATGGGACAAATGTTTGTGGAAGGGGGGAAATCAGCTACACCTTGGTGCTACACAAAAGGGCGGCAACACTGTTGCTGACGGAAGCCGGAAAGGGACGACTGAAGATTTCCGACATCATAGGAACATGCGGAATATCGGGGAAGAAATTAGCATGTCTCGAAACAAAGCTTAGACTCACTTTACAAGGTATCAGATAGGTGAGACTGTTAATGATAAGACGAGGTTACAGAAAGCGGTAGCGGAGCGGTTGAGTACGGAGCGATCACAGGGTGTATAATTTTGTCCTTCGATAATGAGGCTGTCGGGTCAGTCAGAAGGTTGTGGTCGGAAGGCGACAAAGAAACCTGGGGTGTCGATAATGGATGGAGAAGAAAGGGGCTCGACTCGGGGGAGGGCGAGAAGAGGTATGTCGATATAGATTTGAGGCGGAGGCGGCTTCGTAATGTCGGCGATGTTAAGTCAGATGAGGGACAACCGGTTTAGCATGCACAAATAAGACATTCGATGCAAGCTGGACGCGAAGACGGTAGCCGGACTGTTGGGGACGAGTTGATGGCAGAAGCAGAGCTGATAGAGTGGGCAAAAGGGGGAGAGAGAAAGAGAGATGAGAAGAATTACGATGCCGTATGAACGAGAGGTCGGGTAGGAAAAGGATGTCTTCTTGTAGTGTACCACGATTGGGATGGGAAGCGGCCGATCAATGGGTGTGGTTGACTAGCGCAAGGCATCCGCCTGGCTGGCCGGCCGGGGGTGGTCGTCAGTGGAGTGGAGGCGGTGAGAAGAACCTCGACGGATGGTATCGAGAGATAGCCACGTCTGTTTCCTGTCGGTCGGACGTCTCACTGGAACGCCCGGCAAATCAGTTGAAGGAACGGAACCATGAATCAAACAATACTTCACGGGTGCTGCTGTGCTACTTGTACGAAGGTAGTACTTCTTTTTTTCTTCTTTTTTTTCTCAGCGGAGCGTTGGACAAGGATCCGCACATCCATACAGACGCTGATGGGAAAAGCTGGGATTTGATCCCAAGCACAAAGCACAATGCAGAGCTTCGTTCGATGAAAAATGGATCTAATGCAGCCTCTTTCACCAACGCCGCCCTGCTGCCTAACCCCCTTGTTCACACATTTCGCCCACGATCGTGTCCCGTCCTCCCCAGTCACAATCAGCGAATCCCTGCCAGGTCCGTCCCGCCAGTCGGTGGGTGAGTCGATAAATTCAATCGCACATCAACCGGTTCCCTCCCTCCCCGTCCGAAAGCTGAAGATTTTTCCGGATTTTCTTCCGCTCCTCGACGAGGCCTGTCTGGCTTAGCGCTGTTGCCTACCGTTGCGGGGATCGAAAGCGAAGCTGAGCTGTTTCACTTTTGTCAACTAATCTAACCCGTTGGACTGGCCTGGGCCTGGTTCCGTCATTGTCGCCTGTTCCCCACATAAGCGGCCTCTAACGATGCGAACTGGGTCCCCAGCCCCAATTTGTTCGCCGTCTGACGCGGGTCAAAGGCGGCCGAGCCAGTGGAATGGATGGAGTCATCGGTGGCGGGCACGTCGTCTAGCCCATCTTCGCCACTTCAGGTCTGACCTAGGGAGACCAGGCCAGGCGCCAACCCAGACAAGAAGTGTAAGAAGTAAGCTCGCGAGATCATGATAGAACTTCGCCCGAGTAGGTTAAAATCGAGGTCGTCGACCTTGAATCTTGCCATTATTGCATGCAGGCAGTCACCCTGCCGTTAGTTTTAGTTGTCTCTGCCGCATCGCAGCGCGGTTGGCAGTCGATTGAGGCTGCGCTGATGCGACCGACGAGAGCCGCCAAATCCAAGGTTTGACAGGCACAGGCAGGCAGGTGGTCGTCTGAGCGTTAAAGCGAGGCTTGTGATCGTATGTGCTTATCATCCGAGCAAGGGCAGCCTAGCCTCACTCGAGAAAAATCCGAAACTTTGGATGAGGCTGCCTAAGTGTATACATCTGTGGAATATTGACAGGCGAATCCATTGCTGGCATGGCTAGCCCACCAACGCGACACCCCAGAGACCGGCTCCCAACCTGGCTAACATATCCGACCATTCTCTTCTCACTTCTGCACATTTCCTCCGTCACGTTCCATTGCATTTTTCATCCTGTGGCTCCTCGTGATAGTTGTTGGGCCAGACAAGCTGTCACAGCCACCAAGCGAGAAAGCGACCCTGGCCGCCGAGTGGGGGACAGTTGCACAGGGTTGCTGGCTGCCTTTTCTCCGACTCCCTTTGGCAGGCAGAAACGGATATTGCATGCAAGCAGCACGACACTCCCACTCCTTCCTATGGACAGTAGGATCAATGACAGGCGTCGAGGTGAATCCTTTGGGGGCCGCTTAGAATTGACCCAATCCGTTAGCCTCGTGCCCATTAAATCTCCTGTCCTAAGGCCGGTATTACTACCCTCCCCTTCCCATTTGAGGATTCGAGGATATCTACTTCGTACATCGTCTCATCTTAAAAGGACGTGATATTATATGCTGCTCACGGTTCCTTCCTTGATGCCCAGCGACTCCCTTGTCACATGCAATTCTCCAACTCTACGAAGTATTCTCGGACTTCGGTGGAGCTCGTCCCCGTTAAGAGTTGGCGCCGAACCCGGGGTCTCTTTTACCCGCCACTCAACCAATGGTGGATAATGCACGCGGTTTTGAGTACTCGCAGAATTTGGAGCAAAGTTGGGGCGTCCGAATCAAATCAAATACGATCGATAACAATGCTACTTTGGATGTGACCAACACAGAAAGCCGTCTTATTTAAGACTTGATATTACCTGATGCATGCCTACCAGAGTCAAAGTCGAGGGAAGGACTTCTGAGGCGGTATGTCACTGTTGTAATCGCCAGGACCAATGTGAACCATTGCTCGATCCTTCCTCGTTCGCTGACCCTTATCTAGCTGACGAGGAGGGAAGGAATATCCTTCCCGGCTAACACGCACAAGTACTTCGTACTAATATTGGATGTTGGATTGGTGAACAGAAGGAAAGAAGGATCCAGAGTGCAGTTGGGAATGCTTCTCCCATCCTCAACAAATCCGCTGCTCACTGTACTTTTTTTTTTCTTCCCTGTTGCTTCGAGATTTTCCCAGCATTGGGGTCCCCACTCAACAAAGGTCAGCCTGCCTGCTTGGCCTACTGTAGCCTCATTATGGGATATGCGATGGGACTTCAGAACCCTGGACTTGCAGACCTCCATTTCCCCATTGGGAGAGCTGACAATATTGCTGGGCCCTGGGCGGTACTGGCCTGGCTGTCCTTTGGGGAAGGGAGAGAAGCGAGAGCCACTCCAGGAAGAAAATCTCCGGGCGGGCAGGCAGGCAGATGATTGCTTTTTGCCGCATCCTCACCGACACCGAATCAGCTATCGACGAGCGACGGGCTGGAGATTCGAGTCAACGGGACGCACAAAACACAAAATATTATCACGGACATCCCTTTCCTCCAATGATACCTTTGCACTTGGTGTCCGATCACCGACACCGACACTACTTCGTACACTACAGCGCCAGCATCAAATGTAACCGCACCTCCCAGCCCCTGTCACCCCTATTCACTAGCCCGCCCCAATCATCGACTTTCCCAAGCCGAGCCGTTCCGCATCCCGTTGCGGCGATCCAGGATTGCCCTC